CGAAATGTCACCCAGGATTTGGAGGCAGATTTATTTACATTGATGGACACTGACCTGTAGAGAAAATGTCAGGCCCCAAATTTCTGTGTCCACTGAATTCTAGAGGAAATGTCAGGCTCCGAAGGCTCAGGGAGAGAAGTTTCTACAGTGTTGCAAAGGGGAAGTACACAGGTAGAATACTTGGCTGTCTTTGATTTGTTCTTGAAATATGCATCATAGTGACCAGCTATGCATCACATTGACCAGCCATTTCTGAAAAACAGAAGCAATAGGAACTGTTACCTGGGCAATGATTAGAAATGGAAATACACTGGTAGAAGGGGGAATTTTCTTCTACTCTTTAACTCCAAGTATATATTTCTTTCTGTCTGTGTTATTTAGTCATTTCACATAGGATGTACTCACCAAGAACTAAATTTATCATACTCATCTTCAGGCAAAAGGGAAATGTCCAACTCTTTCTTAGTTTCTAGAATCAAGGTAGGAGTTGCCATTGTGATGAATGCAGCCTGTTCAGCATATATTGCTCGTCTTTCTGCTGTCAGTGAAATTCATTTCTGTTCACATTTACTGAGGTCCTACTAGTGAAAACATCACGTTAAAAAGTGTGTGCAAAGTAACTGGAAAAGCAGATATGCTATTGTAAAGTTAGCCATAATATTGTGGTTGACAAATTAATTGCCATAATGCCAGGGAGAGGAAAATATAATTCTGTGGACAAATACTGTGAGCTACTCTTGTAAATTTCTGTGTCCTTCATTAAATCTCTTCTGTTACAAACACTGACTAAAACAGTATCCAAAATCAGATCTTTCCCCTCATATTCTAATTTTAAAAATTAATGTTTCAGAATGACAGGATTGATTTGAAATAATTACAATAAATGTGATTGGCACTGTTCACATACATTAACAGTCATAATCCTCTTACTAAATGGTGTGACCAAGCATTTAAATCAGATGGTTCAGTTTCAGATCCAATACCCACTGTAATTTCCATTAACACAAACTGACATTCAATTTTAATTATATAGTTCATTGTATAACAGAAACACCACGATTTTGGTGTTTTCTTAGTGCAACAAAAAACAAATGAATGAACAGAAAAACAAAATAAAATTAAAGAGGAGAATGAAAGATGCTGAAGGCAAGAAATGGAAAATCTTCTACTATTTGATTAAAGAATTGCAAACTGTAATAATATATAAATTTTCAACTATAGTTAACAAATTACCTCAGAGGACCTGAGGTAAAGTTGGTAGTTAACTACAAAAAGACCTTTTTATTTTGTAAATTGCTTTAAATATTGCCATGACCCATTTAGTAGTCAAAAAATGGCATCAAATATCAAAATAATAGATTAGTGATGACCCATGTTCCACTGAGGAAAAAATTTGGTTTTGTATTGAAGTTCACATATGTATCTTGTTGGTAAACAAATAGAGAAAGTCAAACTTCAAAAAAATTCCACAATACAGAAGAGGTGTGTGTTTAGCAAAGAAGCTTTGGGAGGGAGGTCAGCCCAGGAGGAGGAGGTCAAACACAGCACTCTTCTGAGTCCTGCACTGGGCTGATGCAAGCTGCTCTGTGCTGATTATCCTGCTCTGTGAAGAATAGATTTGCCCCAAGGTGATAACCAGGGCCAAGTACCACATGCTTCCAAACCGCCCCACCCAGGCAGAACTGTTGAAAAGACTTCTCTTTTAAAAAAAGAGCTCTCAGAAAAAGTTCTTATTTTAAAACTCCTATATTATTAAAACTCCAAAATGAGTCAGAATAGTGTTAGACAATATTTAAAAAATGAGATCATTTTGCAATTAACTGTGTCCATTTTAACTTTCACCACTTTCATCCTCTAAGTTTATCATCTTCTAGCTTTGTTTGAAAATACATACATTCCTCAAATGCAGTTCTTTGAGTACGAAAAGAGAACTTCATTTCTCTGCCTTCTTTTTCTATTAATCTGTGTGTAATTAACACTAATGTTCCCTGTAAACAATTGCACACCAGTTTTACACATTGTGCACATTTTTATTATTCTGTGGGGTCTACTGTGCATTCTTTATCTGATTCTTTTCTAGTCAAGCCCCCTATGCTATCAGAGTAAATAAGCAGTTACAGGCAAGCATAAAAGCGAAAGAAGAAAATCAGAAAGTGTTAAGACTATATATAGGGCATTAAGTTTCATTATTATGTTCCTTATTCTATCTCAAAGAAAGGCTTCACTCCTTATACTAATAGTGGTAAACAATGTTCAGACACTGGAGAATCTGTCAGTTTCAAGAGAGTGGACTAAGTCTTACTCAAGAGAGTAAGACTAAATTTCAAGTCAGCTGCAGTCAGAATAACAGCCAGAGAGCTATGAGAGTAACTCTTACTGAGACTCCCTCCTGGCTGTAGTAACTGAAGCCTTGAAGAACTCATCTGTTTCAATATATCAAACCTTTATCCTGAACATTTTCTGTGAACTTCAACATTTTTTCTTTGCTCTAAAATCTGTGGCCCTTATCTACTTAAAAAATGTAATAAGAACAGAACATATGATTTACCCACTTAAGTTTTAAGAGTATAATACTGTATTACTATAATTTATACAGTATTGCATAAAGGTATAAGTTTGCATACCAGATCTCCAGAACTTAGTAAATTTTCATAATGGACAATTTTCATGCATTAAAGGACAATTCCCTATTTTTCTCTATACCAGTCCATGACAATCACCACTCTACTCTCTGTTTTTGTGAGTTTGACTTTTTCTATTTACTTTAAGAGTGTTATAATTTGTCCTTCATTTCACTTCGTATAACTTCCTAAATGTTTACCCATGCTGTCCCAAATGGCATGATTTATTTTTCAAAGATTGTATAGTATCCATTGTTTTTATATACCACATTTTGTTTATCTCTTCATTCATAATGTATGTTTTAGTTGCTTTTATATCTTGGCTATTGTAAATAGTGCTGTAATAAATATTGGACTTCGTACAACCTCTCTCCTTTTCCTTTCTTTTTTTTAAAAAAACAGGGTCTCTCTATGTAGTTTAGGATAGCCTTGAACTCATTAAGTAGCCCAGGCCAGCCCCCAACACACAGCTAACATCCTGCCCTTGCTTCCCAAGTGCTGGGATGATAGGAATGAACCACCATGCCCAGCTCTTAGAATGCACCTCTGTGAGATCCTGATTTCAATTCTTTTGGATACACACCCAAAGGTGGTATTGCTGGATCATCTCATAGTTTTATTTTTAATCTTCAGTAACCTCATACTGTTTTCCATGATGGCTGCACAATTTTACATTCCCACCAACAATGTACAAGCATTCTAATTTATCCACATTCTTGGCAATATTCATTATCTCTTTTGTTCTTTCTAGAGTAGCCATTCTAACAGAGGTGACATGTTTCATTGTAGTTTTTCATTTACATTACCCTAATAATAATTTTAGTATCTTTTCATATATCTGTTGCTTATATGTATATCTTCTTTAAAGGAATCTCTATTTAAGCTCTTTGTTCATTTTTAAATTTAGTTTTGTAGTTAGTGTTCTGTTTGTTATTGATGTGGAGCAACTCTTTGTACATTTTGCATAAGATATCATCAGCCTTATTTTTGTACAAGAAAGTCTCTGAAAGCCAAAGTATCATTCTACTGTTATTTGACTTATAAGTATTCACATAAAGAATCAAATCCAGTGCCAATAGGACCATCATACCATTCTATAATTCATTTATCAATATTTCTGGTTTCTTTCCCTGTATTCCAGGATCATCACCTCACCAATACTATGCAACATATAATTAATATTGTGAGAAAAATTACAGTACAGTTTAATCAGTAGGCCTGATCCTCATGAAAAAAAGTGTCTCTTCAATATATGATGTTGGAAAAATTCCATATAATCATAAAAAAGAATGAAATTAGACGTTTATCTTACATACCTCAAAATCAAGTCAAATTGGACTAAATACTAAACTGTGAGGCATGAAACTGTAAAACTCCTAGAAAAAAATTACATTGGTCAGTGCAATTATTTTGGGGGTATATGAATGAAAGCATAAGCAGTAAGAGCAAATGGAATCAAGTTTGGCATAGATAGCTCCAGTGCTTTGTAGGAAGGATTGAAATTATACTATTATTGTCTTCTTTCTTATTTCACTTTAATAATTTAGTAAGTAACTTTGCCTTTGAGAGCAATTTCTGCCTCTTCTCTTTTTCCCCACCAAAATAATATATGCAATAGTATGACTTTTACACCATATAGTAAGAATAAGTCCCATTTTCAAATGGTTTGTGATGTCATTAGCTTATCCAATGAGGTAGCCTAATTTTTGTTTCATGAAATGCAAAACAAACATAATCATATATCTCAAATTTTGCTTCTGCTATTTGAATGATTACAAGTACAGATAAATCATATTTTTAAAAATCTGACCCATGAGTCCAGAAATAAAATATTTTCCTGGTTTTAGTCTTTAAAAAAAATGACCCTACAGCAAATGCTGGGTAGTTTGTTGACTTGAAGGCTGTTATAAATTTGCAGTTAGATCTTGGTGAAGTTGTTGAGCTCTGTGTCCTAGAAAAAGAACCGTGAGTAACCTGAGTTCTTGCACTTCTGCACTGCAAAGAGTCAAGAGGATGAGCAACGTGTAGTTCCTCCTCATAATGATTCTCAGACATTATAGCATGTAAAGTCAAATAAGGTACAAAACATAATCTTAGCATAACTGTTTGTCTCACATCTGCAACTAGTTTTTCTTCCTACTTTTTGGTCTGAAAACTTTGCATCCACTTTTTTTTTTTTTTTTTTCTGAAGTCCTCTTGAACAGATGAGTGCAATAGCCTCCCCCCAAAGTGCTGAGTCATCTTGTGTCTGTGAAAGTCAGCAGCTGCCTCAGCTGAATGTGGTGCATGCAGATAAAGTTGATTGTCTGTGGTTGGCGGGATAATTCTAAAACCTTTTTTTGTGGTCTTTACCAAATTCATGTTCCTGATAGTCTTTTTTAAATTCAATGACAGAATTCCATATGAATTCTCGCTCTCTGTCTCTCGTAGATACACTTCATTTGACAAGTTCTAGAGCTTAAGGAAAAATAGAACAATCTACAAAGGAAACTGTGAGTACCAAATTCAATTCTCTTCAGTACAATTTGTCACTGATAGTATTAGGAAAACTGTCTAATTTGAAATGTCTATACTATGTTTACAGTGTCATTAAACACTGTTATTTGATTTTTAAGAAGCAGAGGATTATCGTTCTCCTTTTGTATGTTTAAATTTAAACACTAACCTAGCATTTATGTCTATATAACTACCAAAACTTAGGAGTGACGTAAGTTAATTCACATATAGAACAAGTAGGTAACTTGGAACAAAATAAATTTGCTAAAGATTTGAGTCTCTATGGAATGATTTAATGTGATAGCCCAGCCACAGTAGTAAATGCTGCCCTCAGAGAAACAATAGAGCAAAAACAAACAAACAAACAAACAAACAAACAAAACAGTGAAATTCAAATTCTGTAGTGAGAGGTAGGGAGAAAATAAACCAGGGAAACAGTGCTCAAATCATCATGAATGAAATGGACCTTTGAAAATTTTGCTGAGCACTGTCACACACAGGTTGGACTCCTCTAAAGAGAGGGTTTTTTCTTTTTGTTATTTGACAATATAAGGCTTTTAAAAACGATTACTGAAATATTAATAATTTCAAATTTGTTAAGTCAGTAGAAAACATGCTAAATTTAGATATGCAATATTTTCGGATAAAGTAAACACAAATATTAATGGTGTATTAGCCATATTTCTAAGTATAAATTTTTTGAATTTTTTTGTATAATTCATTAAGTTACTTACAAGGCCACTTCTAAGTACTTGTTAAATTAAGTTCAGGATGATCAGCACTTCTCAAATGTTTTTGAACATTTCAATACCATAGCATTACATGTCTTTTTGATCTACCTGAAATTCTAAATTCCTAATTAAAACTTTTGTATCATGAGTTCAGTTGTATTTTTTCTGTAGAACAATAAATGTTGACACACATTTACTGAGAAAATTTTCCAAATGATTAATAGCTGTTTGTCTAAGTAGTTGCTATATATGGTTAAATTTACAGAAATATACGTAGCCCTTCTACCAATAAACATTTAAAGGATTAAAGACATGTAAACATAGATTTACATAAGTAAATGCCTTACAATATTGAGAAGTAGCAGTAGATAGAAGCTTTTTAATTTTATATTTGTTTTAAAATTTAAAAAGAATTTCAACTGATGCATAATACTTATACATATTTATGAGGTGCAGTGTAATATTTCAAAGTACACAGAGGCTTTTAAAACTTGCAGATTATGGAGAGCAGTGGGCCAAAGGTTTTGGAGACTGCGGAAGAAATCCAGCAGAGGCGTCAGGAAGTGTTGGATCGGTACCAGAGGTTCAAGGAACGTGTTGCGGAGCGGGGTCAGAAGCTTGAGGAATCCTACCACTACCAAGTTTTCAGGCGAGATGTAGATGACCTGGAGAAGTGGATCTTGGAGAAGATCAAGATTGTGGAGGATAAGAGCTATAAAGAAACACCTACCATAGAGGTCAGTGCCAGACACTTCCTGAGCCCAGACCCAAAACTCTAATAAGAGAAACAGATTTGTCTTTATTTTAATGAGGGCAGATCGGTGAGAATAAAATATCAATCTACTTAGAAAAAAAAATCCCCAGACAAAACAAAGTAAATAGGTGGAGTATGACTTTCAGGGTGGAATTAAGAGAAATCTAAAGGTGTATTTCCTTTTTAAACATGGAAGAGTGAGATTGAGACAAGAAAATTTAAAGAAAAAAAGTGATAGTTGAAACATTCAATTCTTTGTTATAAAACATTATATGAAAAATACTTTCTTGTAAAGAAAATGTATAGCTGGTTAAATACAAAAGAATGAAAGATTAGGCTGTTAGGGCTGTTAATTTTTTTTCTAAATGACACTTCAACTTTTTTTTTTCTTTCTTTTTTTTTTTTTTTTTTCTGGTACTGGGAATTGAACTCACAACCTTGCACTTGCCAGGCAGGCACTGTGCTGCTGAGCTAAATCCCCAGTCCTACATCTTCAACTTTTGAAACCAGCATTTTATTTGCAAAGAAAACTCTAGATTCCATAATAGCCTGAAATAATTTGAAATTAACAAATTCATGATAAAAGAATAAGTAAATGTTTAAAGACTCTCTAACATATCATGTGATTTTGATGTTGTCTGACATTAATGACTAACTAGGAGTAAAGAATTATCAAAGCTTTAAAAGCAAGTAGTCTCCATTCTCTTCAGAACCAGGGATTATGCTATGTTTTTCCTAAGCTGCTATTAGTCGCTCTTATTAATTTCAACTGAAAGCTCCTAGGAGGAGAAGTTTGTTTTAAAATTCTACAAATGCTTATGGACCTCATATCATAGCATGTGGCACTGTCATCATCAGAAGAAAGGGGTACACAGGCTAAAAGGGTAATTGATATTAGGCAGTGAGCATCTGGAACAAGATCAAAGTCATGAATCTCAAATGAATTAATTCATACCTGACAAGAGAGAGCTCATTATTCTTGTGTACAACTCTATTATTAAAGCTACCATCTTCCTCATTGCATTCTATGTTCAAAAGAACTCAGCTACTCCTGTTTGCTAAAAAAAGAACACTATGAGTAACATACTTTTTTATTCACATAGGAATCTATGAGCCCTTTTACATAAGAGGGTATTTACTGAAAATTTTTCAAAGGCTAGGGCCACAAGAAAGACTCTTTCTGGCCTTTGACAATGAGTCTGGGGCACTTTGACAACGTGTTCAGTGGCTCTGCCTACAGTGTCCATGGCCTTAGGATATGACTGTTTCAAATGTGGTGATAGATTGATTAAATCCAGGTTGGGGAGCCCGTAGTTCTGCCTAAAAGTAACAGGAGAAAAACAAGATCCACTTTTGGTCCAGAGACACTAGACTTCATTAGCTATAAACTCTGCTTTTCTATGCCTCAGGAACCTACTTACCCTAAGGAAAAGCCAGAAGCAGACACAGAGGTCCCTCCTGAAGTGATAGAGTACAAGAACACCCTTGTTGCTGAATCTCAATTGGTCTATCAAGATATTAAGGTAAATGTATGATAAAGGTCACCAGGGTATGCTTGTAATTACTCTTTTTGTTATCAGAATTTTAACTGATTATATCAAACACAAACTTTGCTACAACTAGCTTAGAAAATGGGTTCCTGACTAGTGTTTTACACGGTTGAGGCAGAAGAAATTATGGGGTATCCTGTTGCTCACTGGAGTTGGATAAAGAACTGAGGCATAGAAGATATCATTAGATAGTAGTACATGTCTACTTATGCCACTGTAGAATAATTTATGTTAAGTTCAGCCTCCTTAAACCTGCTCCACATTTCTAAGTTGAATTTAGATTTTCTAAGTGTCTTTTTTAATGATTTCTTTTGACCTCAGTCTCCTTGTCTCTCTAAATCAGTAAATATATTGATATTCTCCCCTATGAGCCTTTCTTGCATATTTTCCCTTTGTCTTTTAAAGCTCTTTTTTTAGTATATGACACCCTTTGACCACCATTCTACTTATCTAAGCTCTTCCCCTTTTGGAAAAAATTTCTAAAACATGTGCCTTTAGAAAATCTTTCTTGAATACCTATAATGTAATGATAAGCACTACTCAAGCAGCGCTTACGCCCTGTTGTCCATTACTAATGTACCAGCTATTTCTGACTACAGTCATGCACTTTCCAAATGTGTGTACTGACCCAGTGAATTCAGAACCTCTTTGTATGAGTGAAAGTTTACACTTCTGATAGTTTTAATTTATGACAACATTGGGACTGGTGTTTCTATCTATAGTGGGAAAATTCTTTTTCATTTTACCGTCAGCAAAATATGATCATGAAACACAGACTATATCAGAAAAAATTTAGAAAGAATTCCTAGCAAAAAAATCTCAAAAGTTGTTCACTTATGTAAAATAAATATAATTTTAGGTTGTTCAGTTTGTGTGTAACGAATCCCCAGCATAATTAAAATTTTTGAGAAATATTTAAAACATTTTCTGTATCTTGGAATCACTTGGACTATATCAGACAGCATCATGGCAGGGTTTGGAGTTAAACATGGTATATGCTACTTTGAAAAGCAAATAATTGAAAGCTGTGTTCTTGAGAATATGACACAGATAGTAACTCCAGCTTTACAAGATGTGTTATACACTAGCCTGGCATTTGAAACCTTCTATATAGTTTCTCTCTATATATATAGTTCCAAGAATATTCTTACTGGTTTGATGCCCCAGATTTCCACTAACTAAAAAAATTATAACTTTATACTTTCTGACAAAGAGTTCAAGCTAACTCTCTTACATCTGTGTTCATATTCAGCACAGGGTATAGCTGGTCAGCACTAAGGGAATGAAAGATTAGACTGTCTATTGGGGATAATAATTCTATCTCTAAATAGCATATCATTGAGGTTTTTATCTTGCACATTTTATTTTCAGGGAATTCCTTCTAGATAACATTCTATGGCAACTTAATTTAATTTTAAAATTTTTTAAAAGTTTAAATTTTTATTAGCACACCTTTGGAGTATATATTAATTACATTAATTGTGAGGAGTTGGTACATACACACAGTACAGTTTAATTTGTTTTTCATCCCTTCCTCTCCCTCTATCCTCTTTACATGCTTTGGTCCCCTTCCTTTTTAATTAATTTGAAACAATTTTAAATGAAGTGAAGCTATCAACAAAATTGTGACTAAAAGTTTACAGGATCTCAGACATATCACATGATTTCAGTATTTCATTATATTAAGAATGGAATCATGCTAAAAAAGTATCAATGTCTTCAAAGCAATTGTGCTCCACTTCATTCAGAGATGCAGATTTTGTTAGGTTTTACTCAGAATGATTGTTCTTGACTCCTGTTAATTTCAGTTGAAAGCTCCCAGAAGTTTGGTGGAAACTTAACCTCATATGAGAGCATCTAGCATAGTCATCTTCAGAAGAAAAGGGTGTACAAGTTGCAGAATTGATAGATATTGGTCAGGGAGCACCTAGGGCAAGATTAAAGTAATGTATCTCCAGTGGATCAATTTACACACGACAAGAACAGAGCCCAGGATTATAGCCATTATTATAACTACTATCTTTGTCATTATTTTCTACTTTGAATACAACTCAGTTATTCCTCTTTATGTTTCATACTTCATTCCAATGGGAGTAATACCATCTAAAATGTTAGCATATTATTAAAATAATAGCAGAATTAAAATCCTCAAAGCAATTGGGGACAGGAAAAGACCTCTCTGTGGCCCTTGGGACCCTTTGGCAATCTATGTTCAGTAGTTCTCCGTAGAGTGATCATTGCTTCTAGGATATGGCTATTGTAGGTATTGCCATAGATTATTGTTTAATCTACATTTTGGAGCATGTGGTTCTGCCTAAAAGTAAAAGGAGGACCATGTAGTCCACTTTATGTTCCAGAGACAGAGTGCTTCATTGTCATGATTTCTGATTTCTAAACTTTAGGGGAAACATCAAAAGCATGAAGGCTTTGAAGGAGAAGTACAAGCAAAATCCCATGCCCTTCCTGAACTGGAAGAAATCAGGGAAGCCCGATTAGCTGAAGATAATTTTGCCCATGAAGATACCAAGGTAAATGTGTAGTGGGGATCTCAAAGAGAAGTTTCTGTTTGTTGGTTATAGTCTGAGCTTCAATTGATTACACCTGATATAAGCCTTGATATAATCGACTTAGGATAAGGATTCCTGCCTCTTGTGTTCTACTGTCATTGGAGGCAGGAGAAGTTACGGGATCTCATCGTGTTCAGTGGGATGGGGAAAATATTTGGAATGGGAAACATGTCATTGGATGATATTTCACTTTTCCTTATGCCGTTTGGGGTAATTTGGCTCAAGATGAAGTTCATTTCAACCTGCTTTCTATTTCTTAGTTGAATCAGCTTTTCCAAGTGTTTTCCTCTAATTGTTTACCTTTACTTCACTACGCCTGTATCTGTCTCTTCAAATATGCTATGCTCTCCCATTTGAATCTTCTCTAAATTTTTCTCATTTTTCTATGAAGTGTCTTTCTTTTCACACACCACATCCTATAACTATGTATCTTTCTGAACTCTCTTTTCCACTGATTTCAAATAATCCTTAAAATCTTCTGTCTTCAGAAATCTGCTCTGAACACAGAAATCTAAAGACAACCACCATCTGAATAGCATTTACTGCTCTCTTACCCAGTATTAGTACCTAAGCTATTCTCTTACTTAGCTCATGCAGTCTTTCAAATATATGTAGTTATAGAGTGAATTCATGATCCTTTTGTGTGACTGAGCTTTTTACTTTACATACTTTTATGTTGTCAAACACATTTCCTTTACATTTTTTAAAATTTGGGCTGGCGTTTTTTATATAGAGTAAAAATTTTTTCCCGTCCTACTCTCAGCAAAATATATCCAAACAATAGAGGCTTTAATGAGAAAATAATTTTGAGAAACAAATTATAAAAAGAAAATCTCCAAATTTACTTGTTTATATAAAATATAAATAATTTTGCATTCTTGAGTCCTGTGTAATTCACCTCGTACATTCATTAAAACATTTGAAAAATTTTTAAAACACACCTCCCATCTGTCAGCATAAATAGGATGGTATTAAAGAGCATCATGGGAGGTTCAGAGAGAAACGTGGTCCACATGCTACCTTGAACAACACAGCAGTTGAAAAACCTAACATTGTTGAACACACAATACAGTTGGTAACTTTACTTTTATAAGATATGTAATAAATGCTGTTTGAGCTAATCTGACAGCCAAAACTCTATATAGAGTCTTCAACTATATACTCCCCAATATTCTTACTTTTTTGGTGCCACAGATTGCTAACACATCAGCAAAGTTTAGCTTTTATACTTGCTGTTACCATGGCTACTTTTGCACTTAGAACACTCACTGCCTCACACCTACCTGCCTTCCTGTTCCTTAAGACTCTCTGTGTGCGAAGTCTTCTGTGCATCCCTCCTCTTATCCCTGTTACTGCTTGTAGTTATCTATCCTCTATTTCCTCAGAACATTTTGACAAACGTTTCTCTAATGGAAGATCATATTTGTTTCAGTGTGACAAACAACTGCATACATATCCAATTTTTAAATTATGCATAAATGTTGGGAAAAAGAATTTTTAATCCAGGTTTTTGTTTGTTTGGGGATTTTTTTTTTTTATGGTGCTGGTGATTGAACTCAGGATGCTGTGCATGCTACACAAGTACTCTACCACTGAGCTACATCCCCAGGACTAACCTAGGTGTTTTCCTGCAGAAGTCTCTGAGTCTGTATTTCCTCCATAGCCTCTGTGCCTCAGTACTTATGTTCTCTTCCCTAAAGACCCATCTGGAACAACTACGTGAACTGTGGGACCTGCTGCAGGAGCTCACCAAGGAGAAGAGTGCCTGGCTACTGCAGACCCTGAAGTTCTATCAGTACTTCCTGGAGTGTGGTGACATCTTAGAATGGATCAAAGAGAAGGTATAGGACAGCGTGCAGATAGGACCGCCCATCCCTCTGACCCAGCATCTACATAGCAATTCACTGCAAACTATTTACAAAGAAGCCAGAATATCTGTTTCTGGATGTCATTCCTTGGAACAAGAGGAATTTTGGTAAAGAATCAAGGGTATTCTGGAGAGTAAATTGTAGGGGATGTGTAAACCTGTGATCTGAATATGGAGAAGACAAGACTTAGGCAATGATCTTGCCTTAGAATATTGTCTAGGCTCATCCCCTTTACACCTTTCACAATCTTTAATTCGTCTCCCAGGTTTCTGCTCATTTTCAGGGCCTGATTGAAGATATTTCCAGCTCTTTCCCTATTCTCTGGTCCTTTATTACCTAAAGACATAAAAGGATTTATTTATTTATTTTTCTTTTTCAACATCACTGGTCATTTGAGAGGTACAAATTAATACAACACTGAGATTCACCCTAGAAGGAATGGCTATTTTCAATACATCAATAACAAATGCTGGTGGGGCTGTGGGAAAAAAAGCACTCTTCTCCACTGTTGGTGGAAATGTAAATTGGTGAAACCACTGTGGAAATCAGTGTAGAGATTCCTCAAAAAACTGGGACTAGAAGTCCCATTTGACTTAGCTAGCAAGGCTTTTTTTTTTTTTTTCTTTCCTTTCCTTTTTTTTTTTTTTTTTTTTTTTGCAATTCATATCTTTAAAAGGGTACTAGAGTAGAACCAGGATGAATTGCTTCCTCATCTCCCAAAACATGAAACAGCCCCCCATATTTCTACCTGAGTTACCCACAGATTACAAGCTTGGGTTTTGGACTTTTGCCTTGCTGGAATTCCTTAGCATTTCTGGTGACTGCAAAATTTTGTGTCTACAGAAATCTATAGTGACATCTACAGAGCTGGGTGAGGCCTGGGAGCGCACAGAATTTTTGCATAAGAAGTTTGAAGAGTTCCAGGAGGAACTTTCAGCTCGAAAGAGTAGAGTGGATGGAGTGAACAAATATGCCGATGAATGTGCTGAGGTGAGGCGCGGCAGAAGAGCCATGCCAGGGAAAGGGTTCTCTGCTGAATAGCTGGTGGGATATGAGGGAAATGAGACACTGTGAGAAAACAGCAGGATGCATGTTCCTGGTGTTATATGCTCTAGGAAGTCTCTTCTTTCCACTGCAACCACTTTTGTCAGTCCACAGAAATGGAGGTATGAGTGTGTGTGTGTGTGTGTGTGAGTGAGTGTGTGTGTGTGTGTGCAGGAATTAAATCCACTAGAAACAATCTTCTGTACCAGGTAGTAGATTTATTACTCATGTTTATGGGTACATTCTGTTTCTTTGTGAAAAGAAACAAAAATAAAAATACTAGGTAATGTAAAATAATGTTTGTTCATCTATCTGCCTTGCTATACACACATAATGTCTTTATACATTATTATCTTAGGGGTTGCAAAGGGGCAGAGGCAGATTTACATCATTTATTTAGGGAAATACTTATAAAATTTGGCAAACTCTGAGCAGACAAAGACTCAAAGTGGGTAAAAATGATCCTAACATATAAAAGAAACCTGCATTAGTAGGTCTGTCCAGTGCTATGGGCAGAGTATAAACTCTGGTAGATTGGTGCTCTAGGTTTTGATTAAGTGGATCAAGTAAGCTGGAGAACAGGGTGATGGTGAAAGTCAGTGTCTTATTACAGTGGCCACTCTCCACTTCTGACCAAATATGAACCATGTAAAGTGTGGAAATAATTTCTGATGTAACTTTATCTTTGTATAAATTCACTGTTGATAACTTTCCCCAGGAGAACCATCCTGATCTGCTCGTAATAAAGTTAGAGCGGGATGAGGTCAATGCTGCCTGGGAGGATCTCTGTAATCTGGCTCTCCAAAGAAGGGAAGCTTTGTCCAGTGCTGCAGACCTACAGCGATTCAAAAGGTAAATTATGGCCACCTTCAGATAACATCATGTTTACTTGTCTTGACTCTGTCTTAATCACTTACCATATTGCTGGGACAAAATACCTGACCCTTGCAACTTAAAGGAGAAGCTTATTTTGCTCCTGGTTACAATCAATGATCAGCTGGTTTCAAGGCTGAAATAGCACGGCAGAGGGACATGGTGGCAGAAAGCTCCTCATATCAGGGCAGCCAAGGAAGCACAGAGCATAAGGAGGAGCTGGGAGGGAGACAAACCCTTCCCGGTTGTTTGCTGTGACCCAGCTCTTCCAATCCCACCTCCTAATAGCACACTGGATGCCAGATAGATCCACTGATGAGTATAGCACCCCTATGAAGCAATCACATTCCAAACACGTGAGACTTTGGGGGCCATTATAAACCTAAACCCTAACACCTTGTTTTACTCCTGTTTGCAACTGATGGCCAACTTCAAATCCATGTGCATCAAGCATTTGCCTTTGAATAAGCAAGAAATTTAAGAAAACTGAGAACCACTCACTAGTCAATTATAGGAGGTTGGATCCCAAAGCAAAAATAAAAATAGCACTGATGTATTAGTGATAGAAGTTCTGTAGAGAGAGAATAATGATTAAGACTTAGATGAGGAGGAGTTAGGGGAAAAGGCCTTCACGAATAGCTGACTCAGATATGGGAAGTATCTCTGAGAGCTCAACCATCAGGAGGCCAAGGTCCCTAATATCTCAGTGGAAACAACTTCGAAGTAGGAACTTTTAAATTTACTTTTGCTGGTCTGTAGGAAGGCAGGGAGCTTGCCACCTGGATGAACTAGATTGATCCTTGCTGTTTGGTCTGTTGTTCTGTATGTCTTGCAATACTACCGTTCATTCTGCTGGAGCTTATGTTCATGTCTGGTAGGGATGTGACCGAAGCCATCCAGTGGATCAAAGAGAAGGAGCCTCTTCTCATCTCTGAGGACTATGGCAAAGATCTTGTTAGTTCTGAGGCCCTGTTTCACAGCCACAAGGGACTGGAGAGGAACCTTGCAGTCATGGAGGACAAGGTAAGCCACTTTGGAGGAACAGCTGGCCTCTGAAGTTAAAAAAAAAGGAAGAAAAACTATTTAGTGATCATCTTGCCTTGGCCTAACACCGATATAAACAGAGGAAACAATAACTTCACTTTGGATGAAGGAGAAATTCTGTGGGACTTGAATGTATTTCCTCACTGTAGTTCATACTTCTTAACAGATATTGTGAAGTTCCTATTTTTATTCAAATTGTTTTTAATTAAAATATACATATTCTCTATGTTTATATACTGTACGTTTTGTGTTATATTTCACAACTTAAGAAGAAAAGAAAACAATACCTCCAAGATCAGTCTATAATCTCTCAGTGGCCACAGTCTTTCCTTTGACTACATTTTTTCTTATTGAAAATGAATCTTGTTTATTTTATTTTCTTCACTCTGTAGATCAGGAAAACATTTTCTTCTTCTTTTACAATAAACTCTGACAGACATGGTAAATCTGCCATCAGGCTCTCTTCTAAATCTGAAAAACCCTAGTTCCTGTGTCTAAAGGACCAGAAACAACTATTCTGGAACTCAGCACAAACCCGTATCTTTAAGTACACTCACCCATTATCCACTTCTCAACTTTAGCCATAATTTAGAACAATTATTACTGAGTGTCCTCAGAAGAGCCAGCCACAGAAAGATCCAAATGTGCTGTTCTCTAACTGGAGGCTGTCTCTGTGGGCAGTTTCCCCAGGATTCTACCGTGCTTCATTCAAGCTGTAACAGGTGGAAAGTCACCATATCTGTATTTTGTCACAAGAGCCCTGCTTTGAAGGGCTTTGAAGAATTGTTCCTGAAAAGGTCTGGTATTACTAAAATTTTCAAAACCTTTCCGATGCCCACTGTACTCTTTATGGATAAAGAGGAATTATGAGGGAGAGACTTAAATCAAGGCCTTACTTCTGACACTAGCTGAATGATTTTGACCAAAGAAGCACTCTACCACTGTTGACATACAAAAGGAGAATAAAAACGGTTTCTACCTTGATATTATTAAATAAATAATATAAAATAAGCAAATGCATGTAAAGTGCTGAACAAAATGACAGATATAATGTACTCAATAAATTGTTATTAATTTTATAATAATTATATTAAGATATTGGATTATATTATATCAATATAATGGTTTATTATATTAATATTATATTAATTATGTTAATATAATGGAATATTATATTATTATATAATACATATTAAATTATAATATAGTAATTACAATATATTAATTATATAATTAATTATATACTGATCAATTAATATATTAATTATATAATTAATATAATTAATTGTAATATATTATGATTATAAATATTTATTATATATAATAAATATTATAGAAAATACATATTTAATTATATAATTAGCTATTTAATTATAATATATTAATTATAATATATTATATTATAAATACATATAATATATCATTATATGTAATATATATTATATTATAATGCAATGGATATTATACTATATTAATATAAGGGATATATTATATTAATATAATGGATTAACATATTAATAAAATATGTCAATAAAAAGGTATTTATCAATTATTATTCATATGACTGTTTTATATGAACTATGTCAGAAATCAGCGTGCTTGGGTTGTCTATTAGATTTCTGTTCTATCCCAAAGGTAAAGGAGCTATGTGCCAAAGCAGACAAGTTGATGATCTCCCATCCTTCGGATGAACCTCAGATCAAACAAATGAAAGAAGATCTGTTCTCCAACTGGGAGCACATTCGTACCTTGGCTACTACCAGATATGCAAAGCTGCAGGCTTCTTACGGGTAGGAAATTTCTCCCCCTTATTGTTCTTTTTACCTCTACTGAGCCCACACAAGATATCCAAAGCCAAAGAGTACAAGCAATGACGAAGATATGGGCTCGGCTCTACTGCTTCCTCTGTAGAGAAAAATGTAGTTTTAATTTTTTAAGGAAAATTTGCTAGCCGTGTAAAACTCAGCAGTCCACCTGTACTCATTCATATCCTCCTGTTTTCTCATTTCTAGGATATTAGACAGTAGCCTATAAAGCTGGAAAACTCCTGGTTCTGACTAAGCAGCTAAACCAAAATTTTTTTAAAAAGAAAAATATTAAAATAACTCCAGAATTATCTCCTGATTATGGGTTAAAAGCTTAAAAATGTGTGATAATCAGGTATCATTTTAGCAGTTAATTCTTCTGGTTAGGAACTCTGGTCAGTGAGTTCAGCAGAAAACAGTGTTTGTCTTATTATTAGAATTTAAAACCAAGTGTCAAACATTTGTTTTGAATAGGTAAGCATTTTTAGAAGTTCTTGTTTGTTATTTCTTTTAAATTAATTTATGTTTTTTAGTGGGGGTACCAGGAATCAAACTCAGGACCTCGCACTTGCCAGGCAGGTGCTGTGCCTCTGAGCTATATCCCAGGCCCTCTAATTTTTTATTAATAGAATTAGATGTAAGCTAGGATACTAAGAAATCCTAACCCTAATTCTAGCCCTTCTTTCCACAATGTGCTTTCTGTTACTTACATAACATATATTTATTTATTTGCTGCCTTGTGAATATTTTACTCCATTTCAAGTATCTCTGGGTAGACAAGACCTTGTTATGGTAGAACTTGAGCATCCATGAACAGAATGGTGTGTCACAGTGATGTGCCTACCCTGATGTGAAAGACTTGCAGCCTGCACTGGGAAAAGAACTCTGACTGTTAGTACCAGGAAGTACATCAGGGGAAAGGAAGGGCTCAGATTAATGTGTGGAGCACCTCATATATCTAAGTTCAGCTCACCTCTAACTCTTTGTTCAAATCTGTTTTTCCTCTTCTGCCCTTTACCTGAAATTTTTCCACAGGTACTTTCGGTTCTTATCAGACTATGATGAGCTCTCAGGTTGGATGAATGAGAAGACGGCTCTGATCAATGCTGATCAGCTGCCAACAGACGTGTCTGGTGGGGAAGTCCTACTAGACAGACATCAGCAGCATAAGGTAGCAAGCATCGGCCTTCCCAGGAGGAGGAAGGAGATGGGTAGGAGTGAGGGAGGATGTGTGAAGAGTGCCAGGTTTCTTGCTGTATTTGAAATATTTTTTCTGTTGGCCACAGCACGAGATTGACTCTTATGATGACCGATTTAAATCTGCTGAGGAGATTGGCCAAGAACTACTGGATGGCAAGCATGAAGCCTCTGATGAAATTCAGGAAAAGGTAACCCAGTTTAACAGGACTTGTGAAATTTGTGTTAAATATCTGGCATTCATCTAATCATCCAATAATACTGTAACCTCAGAACAGGAAGGGGATGGAAGTCATCTAAACGCATTGCAGATGTGGACCCCATTTTCCTCCTGCTTCCTTTCATATATGCTTTAGCTAAACTGAGGAATCACGAACAAGTGCTTGCTCATCTTTGAGACTTTATGTCATCCACCCTCTGACTTCCTTCTAATTTGAAATGTCCATACCATTTTGCTTTGCTGTGTATGCTGCTTTGACACATTCCCATGCTCATCTTCTGACTGTAAATTCCATGAACTCTGTCTTATTAATAATCTCTAGGTCCCTCATAAATGTCTGGAACAGTACATGGAGCATGGCTGACATCTATACTTTTTCTTCTCACCTTTTAACAATGCTAAGCTGATTTTTTATGTGTGTGTTTCTCAAATTCTAAACACTCAGACTTCCACTGAGTAAGGAAATCCTAACCTCCTGGATCACAGAAGCCCTGCCCGAACCCCCTGACTCAGAGAGGTTTTGCTCTATTCACAGCATCCGGGCACTCTTTGGAAGGATAACAGTAAGATTTTCATCTGCTTTTCATCTCACTGGATTCTAAACACAGCCTTCAGCTTTGTGTGATGGATGAAGTTCAAATAGCCACATTTTTAACTTCTCTATTATTCTGTGGCAACATTATAATATGGATGTTTTTCATTGTCAAAACACTAAGTCTCTGAAAATTTAGCTATCATCATCATCATAATTATTATTCCAGTACTCTGAGAATTTGTGTTGCTTTTTTGATAGAGTTAACAGGAACCGCTATCATAAGCTGGAACTTCTTGGACAAGTACATGTTCAGAAACAAAGATTTCTTTTCTGTGTGTAAGAACATTTTTTTCCACTTTTCTTGATGGCTGTTCTCAGGATAAAATCCTAACTTCTTAGTCTGACTTTTTAAGGGCTCCATGAACTTAAAATATCTACCCATTTTAAGACTTTTTTTTTTTTTTTCTGGAGCATATTGTGTAATCTAACAATTACTTGGTATCCCAATAACACCATTTGCTCATGGTAATATGTTCTCCTAAAAGCCTGATATTCCTCCCTCTTTAAATTTGTTTGGTATGAAACTTCTTATAGCTTTCAATGTTTTTACTCCCAGTTCTTCCCACTTGAATTAACCTTGGCCTCCCTCTTTACATACACAAAGCATGTTATGTCTCTTTTATGGGTCTCTTTTTTTAATTTTAAAGATAAAAAAAAGAAAATGTATTAACAAAAACACATACACTTAAAAAATAATATAAAAACAATACCAGCAATACAAAATTTCAGACAAGGTAATAGGAAATTAACAATGGTTGCTGTATTACATATTTCTATCTTTAAATTGTATATTTAGATAAACAAACATAGACATGTAGTATTTTTGCTATACTAAAACTATGTGCCTACATGTTGGAACCATAGAAGCAAAGCATTATTTCCTGTTCATTTTCCTGTCTTTCAAAAGGCTTTGGTTTTGTTTTTTGTTTTTTTGTTTTCTTTAACTAATGCTCAGTAAATATAGGATCCAATAAATTAACTAAATGTCCTCTTTCCAAAGATGACAACGCTTGCCAACAACTGGGCCACCCTGCTGGAGCTGTGGGACAAGCGTCAGCATCAGTACAAACAATGTTTGGACTTTCACCTCTTCTGCCGAGACAGTGAGCAAGTGGACAGCTGGATGAGTAGACAGGAGGTAACAGAGGGGTCTGTGCAGACTTCAGAGAGCTCTTCTCCCATCTCTCATTTACTCTCCCAATCAGTCTTTGAGCTAAAGATTATGCTGGGAGTTGGGGAATGATTCAGGACAAAAACAAAAGATGATAGCCTGGGCTGGGGATGTAGCTCAGGGGCATAAGCACTTGCCTGGCAATCCTGAGGTCATGAGTTCGATTCCCCGTAACAAAAAAAAAAAAAAAGAAAAAGAAAAGATACCCTTCTCTGTAAGGCTCCTATTATTATCTCATGGGCAAAGACAGGAAGGGTACTTAAATACATAGCAACAGGATTATTCCGCAACTGAACATGAGGCAAATGGATGTCAAACTGGTAAAGGGTCAAGAAGAAAAAGAATGTGATGAGTCAGGCAGGGTTCATTAGAGAGGATTTCTTGGAGGAGGTGTTGGTTCTCTTGAGGCATTTCCGAGAATTCAAAATACTACTTAGATTGATTGAGTTTCATGCAGGTAAATCTATAGCTACAGGTGAGAAAATCATGTTAGAATACTGGGAAGGTCTGAAGTTTGTGTTATTTGAGGTTAATTTCTGCACAGTATTTTAATGTATGCTAATTCCTACCTTGCTCTACAGCTCTCTTGCCTACATCCTTTAGTCCTTGTCTCAGTTTTATTCCAAAAGAAATGTTTCTTAGCAATGCAGGCATCTAGGATGTGTCTTTCTGTCTTCTGCAGGCTTTCCTGGAAAATGAGGACTTGGGAAACTCAGTGGGGAGTGTAGAAGCCCTGATTCAGAAGCACGATGACTTTGAGGAAGCCTTTACTGCCCAGGAAGAGAAAATTATAGTAAGAAATAGGCTCCAGTGGGTTGGAGCATGTGTATATTGCTTCTTGTGTATATTACTTCATCCAATACATCCCTAGGTAGAATCATTATTATAACTATTTGACATAGCATCAGGGTTATTCTTGATAAAGTTCCACCTATGTTTTATTGTTGATATTTCCTTGTAGCTTTCAATAGTTCTTTGACTTAATTTTATAAACACATAAATGCTTTGAAAGCCAAAATTTAATAAAGATTGATCTTTAGAAAAAATATACAGAAAAGTAATCGTACCCATTTTTATCAACACATTTCTCTTTCTCCAAAGCATATTTAGAAAGTTTTTCAAAATGGCAGGGCATTCCTACTTCTGAGGAGGTCCAGGCTGTGTTGTATTTTTTCCAAAATATAAATAAAATTATTAGTTTCATAATTAATAAATACTTGAAACATATTTTGGCTTTTCCTTTCTAGTAATATCTTAATATAGTTTTTTTCTTATAATGTCTAGATATCTAAATAATATCTATTCTGTTCCCTTATGGTATTCATTCATTTACAATGTCTTCATCTTTGTGTTTCTCATCTAATGCTATTAACAGAATTTTCTTTTTCTGTCAACTTGAGTTACCACTTCCTAGAAAATTGAACAACATATAAGCAGGATTTAAAGAAATTTGAGGAAGACTCCATGTGTCTTTGTGTTTTAGGATGATGCTGACTTTAAGTGCGCACACACACACACACACACACACACACACACATACACAAACCCCATCACCATCACAATCACCAATATAAAAAATGACAAATTACACATCTTTCCTTTCCATCAATGGGGTGCATAATATGGTCTTTTATTAAGCCATATGCTTATTCTGTTTATTCTCATTTGTGAATGCTAACACTGTGATTATTTTATAGTGTTATTTATATTAGATTATCTTTCTATTTCAATCAATCCATTCCAAGGTGTCACAATTTAGGAAATTTATGAGCAAATACAAGTAAAAATACTTCTCTTTAATTTCTGACTCATCTCCCTAAGAGATGTAGATGCAGCCCTATCTATTTGTCTGTCTACCTATCTACCCATCTATCTATGCATTTATCTATCTATCTATCTATCTATCTATTTATCTATTATCTATCCATCTATATAATACATAAATAAGAGAGAGATGCTGGATAGACTGACCACTGAACATGAGTGTCACTGATACTGCTTCCTCTTAAAAGATTTAAGAGTAGATAAAATATTCATCTTATAGTGACACGTAAATGTATTAAAAAATATTGTGGCTTAGATAAGGTAAGTAACATACCTAAGGCACATATTTTCAACACAGTGGATAAAAGCTCATAACTGGGACCTAAATCTTTGAGCCTGAAACTTGTCATCTTCCCATATTGCTATGCTTTATTTTTAAATAGCTACTCAAACTCTGACACTTAATCAGCTGTCACTGGAGGAACATTCTAATTGTTATTTTTTTAGACCTTAGATGAGACTGCCACCAGACTGATTGACAATGACCATTATGATTCGGAGAACATTGCTACTATCCGTGATGGGGTATGTCCAAGGCCCAGAGTCTGTACCTGCCTGCCTGTGCACTGAGATCAGACAGTGTTGGGAGCATAGGCCAGGGTGGGCAGTGAGTCTCACGTATCCATGTTTAGTTCTGCTGACAGCGAATTTTCTCATGGTTTTGCAGCTATTGGCTCGGCGAGATGCTCTACGTGAAAGGGCTCACACTAGAGGGAAACTGCTGTCAGATTCCCTGTCTTTGCAACATCTATATCAGGACTCAGACTACCTAAAAAACTGGATTAACAAGAAAAAAAAGTTGGCAGATGATGAAGACTACAAGGTAGGCATACTTCCAGGTCCTGCATATACTCCCTGGGGCGGTCTTCATTTCCTATTGATGAGACACAATATCTGACACCCAACACTTGAAGAGGAGTTTATTTTGGCTCATGCTTTAGTCCACAGACAGCTGGCTTCAGGCAGAAATTGCATTGTGGAAGTCATGGCATAAGGAAGCTGCTCAATGAATTCTATGAAACTAGGTAGCATGTGTTTGCATTCTCTGCAACAGTTACATTTCCAGCGAATGGATGATCTGTGTACTAAAAGAGGAATACAAAATAATTTTCATCTCTCATGATAGCTCTGATTGATTGTTAGAGCTTGCGTGGGGTGTTACATTCAAGATGTTCCTCAGGACACATCCAGATCTGGTAGAAATAAATGCTGGATTGATTCACTAATATTCCACATATGTAGAAGAAGGGATTAGTCATATGAGTTTCCCAAGCATTTGGCAAAGATTCTACTCCCTTGTATCCTCTTCTTAGTACAGTTAGACGTATAGTGAGAATAAGCTTTTGTCCTCAAAAATTTTGCCTCTCATTCTCCACTTAATTGTTTTTGTTTGTTGTCATCTTAGGATACACAGAACTTGAAAAGTCGGGTTCAGAAGCAGGAAGACTTTAAAAAGGAATTGGACACTAATGAGATCATGCTTAAGAACCTTGAAAAACTTGCCCAGGAGATGGTAGATGATGGCCACTATGCTTCTGAGGATGCGACAGCCCGTGTCAATGAGGTTGTAGGTCTCTGGAAGGAGCTGCTTGAGGCAATAGCACAAAAAGGTTAGATCCACAAATTTTGACGATGAAATAACTCCTAATTTTCAAACCTACCACCATCATTTTACCACTGTCACTTTACCTGGTGACCTGTGTGAGAAGGGATGCCACCATTTCCTTCCCTGTGTCTTTCTTCTGTTGGTCAGTGTTTTAAAACCCAACCTAAATTGATTACACAATATAGCAACAAAACTTTTCTTCTTGTAGAAATTACTTTTTGTTTTCTTCATTATTCTCCTATTTTATTTATTTATTTCTTTTTTTGGGTGCTGGGAATCGAACTCAGGACCTTGCACTTGCCAGGCAGGCATTTATGCCACTGAGCTACATCTCTGGCCCTCTCTTTTTTATTTTACTGAACAAGTATTCATGAATCATGAATTCTACATTATTAATTAGATTACATACTTTGGTTCTATAAGGCTGACCTAGTATGAATAAGTCATAAGTAAAGACATTAAAATGGACATCAAGAAATTAGATGTCTGATTGTGAATTGATAGGAAAGCACTCAAAGGTAAAGGGTAACTGGGATATGGGAAAAGAGAAGGGAAAGAAGGAGAAAGTTTGTATGCATGTATATGCAGGATAGTTAACATGGCTGTTCTACTGTCTTGTATTTCTTTGCTGAAAGAAACTGTCAATGAGTTCTTGGTTGATCAGCTTTGCATGTCTATATCTGTTTTCATGAGAAACCACTTTGAAAATATCAATATGTAATACAACAAGCATTGTTAATTCCCTACCACTTTGTTTGTAACTCCATACTGTCTGTATTGTTCCTTTGCTGTTTTGTAAAATGTTGACTGTCTCTTAATATTTTCCTCCTTTTATTTTTAAAATAAAAAAAAAAAGAAATTAGATGTCTGGCAGGGGATATAGCTCAGTGGCATAAGCACATGCCTGGTAAGTGCAAGGTCCTGAGTTCGATTCTTGGTACCAAAAAAAAAACAAAGAAAGAAATTAGATGTGAAAATATTATTTTTGTTACATATGATATGCCATAGTATTTAATTCTCCCTCTCCTCTCTATCCATGTACATGTTTTTTGTACTGGAGATTGAACACAGGGCCTTTACACTGAGCTACATTTTCAGCCATTTTTTTATTTCTTATTTTAAGACTGAATATCACCAAGTAGCTAAAATGCACTAAGTAGCTTGGCTCAAACTTGCAATCTTCCTGTCTCAGCTTCATAGAGTGCTGGGATTATAGGCATGTGCCACCGTGTGTAGCTAGTATTACCTTCTTTAAGATTCTGATTGCTTGTTGCTTTTCCACTCATATAAAAGTTTTCAGGCTGTGCTGTAAACTCTTAAAAATTCCATATGTATGATTGAATAACCCTACTCATCTTTTGCTTCACTTTTAACTTTGAAAAGTTAATGATTTGTTGGAAATCAGCATGAACAATTAGTTTTCTCTGTCAGCACCCTGCTTGTCAGGAATATCATGTGTAGATATAGCTCTGCTCTGGTTACAGAAGAGATGTGTCATCTTGATAACTTGGGATGTTATCCTAATTTTTGTGTTTTGTGGGGGAGGGTAAATTCAACGTGGTCACAACACTCTCAATGATATTCCCCCCATCAGAATGTGAAGTGATTGCTTTTCAGCCATAAAGCAAATAATTGCTACAAGCTCATAGAATAAAGAATTTAGTCCAACATAGTGTAAATAATTGAGACATTTCATGGAAAAGAAAATACTTGTCCATGGTTTGAGATGAACAGACACTAAGAGGAAGGAGAGTGAAGTTCAAAGAAACTTTAAATTTCCAAATGAATCAACCCAACATTTTATACTTCACCTGGAAAGTATGATGTTTGAGTCTGAATCCTTTTCAAAGAATGGTCTGAGTTGGAAGTCACAAATGACACATGAAAATACCTAACATGGTTAAAATCAGACACAACAAAACTATATTTCCTCAGGGAATATAATTTACTGTTTTTCGTTGTTTTGAGAACATTGCAATATTTAAAGCTAAATGCGAAAAAAATTTCCAAATTTAAAATGAGTCCTTGTGTGTGACAAGGAGACAATTATCCTATTTTTCTCTTCAAAATATCAAAAGATTCTGTTGCTCATTCAGCTGAGGAAAGGTACATCTGTCTTATCCCTAATGTGTTTTCCCAGGGACCCAGTTGCAGGAAGCGAATCAGCAACTGATATTCGAAAATACTGCGGAAGACCTGAAGCGCTGGCTGGATGAGGTGCAGAGTCAGGTCACCTCCGAGGACTACGGGAAAGGCCTGGCTGACGTGCAGAATCTGCTCAGGAAACATGGCCTCTTGGAGTCGGCTGTGGTTGCTCGTCAGGTTTGTTGTTAACTCTTTGGCCGACTGCAGGCAATTGGCTACCTGTTCTGAGGACATCCAGAGCAACTTCTTACTACTTAAAGAATGACAGCAAAGAATCAAATGTCAGCTTCCTCCTCCCAATTTTGACTCTGTCTAGTCATTCTCCCCAATGACTTTCATCAGAACTCTTGATGTGAGACATTATTGACTCTTCTAAACATGAATACTGTTTTCTTCCTCCAGAAACCCAGGGTTTTTTTAAACCAGTTTTTACTATTGCATATTATATAAAATAATGGGTTTCATTTCAGCAAATTTCTACATGCATATAACATACTTCAGTCATCTCCACCTCTTCCATCATCCCTTTTGCCACTTATTTTACAGACACTTCACCACTTACTAGTTAGTTACATGATCTTTGATAGATTATTTCATCTTCATTTGCTACAATATCATCACCTATAAAATAGGAGGAGTGAATGACATCGTTTCTGCCACTTTGAGTCCATCATTCACAGTCTGAAAATTTAGTCAGTGCCATCAAAGCTTTTTAGTTAAAAAAAAAAAATAGTGAGCCTGGGGATTTAGCTCAGTGGCACAGCACCTGCCTAGCAGGTGTGAGGTCATGAGTTCGATTCTTGGTACCAGAAAAATAAATAAATAAAAAATTTTGTAAAAAAATAAAGTTCCCAGAGATAAAATGATCTTTCCAAAGTCACACAGAAATCAACAACAGGGCTGGGAATGTGATCTATATTTCTAAGTTCTTAGCTTCTGGATTATTGTTCCCAATATCCCTCCAGGCTGCTACTTAAAATAAACTTATCCAGCAAGTTTCCATAGCATGGATATTGAGAGTTTGGGGAGAATTCTGTGGAAATGCACTTCCAGGTGACTTTATTTCTTATTCCAAGAAATTTGGGTTTATTTAAAATTGATTCCACTGTTTCCTAGATCTGCATTTTTAAAATGCATTTTAAAAAATGTCTGATCTTTAGTTACTTGGAATTAAATGGGAAATACAGAATAACCTACAGAAGCAGAAAAGGAAACCCCTGCTATGTAGCATTAAGAATGCCTCAGTGAGGCCTAAAATAAAAGATTAAAGAGGTACATAGAAAGAGAGTTTGGAGCAGATTCTTTATTAAAAAAGGAAGATGTAATTTTTTAAAACTTTCTTTTAAAAAAGTTTTTGTTTTTTGACACTTAAGAAATAGGTGTGTATAACCCCATCTGGGAAAATTAGAGCAGCTAATCACCAAGACTTGGTGCTCCTACAAGGTATAAAGACTAAAAAATGCTGCTTACAAAATAAACTATATATACATATATTTTTTTCCTTTCCTTCTTTCTTTTCTCCTTTCCATCCATCCCAGTTGTTCTTTCCTATTGAGAAGTTTTTTGTTCCCTTTCACAATATCTATTGTACCTTTCAGATTTTATTTATACTTTCTGGTTCTTATAATAGACAATACAGTGTTTATACATGAAGGCCTGACTAATTTCTACTGGTGTATTGAAAGGAAAAGTTAAAGTTTAATTGTTTGATCAAACTTGCATCCCTATATCTGGTACTGTGAGCAACTCTTTTGAAGATAACCATAAGTAATAATACAACAACCACTGTTCATTTCCCATCCTCTTATTTTGAAATTTGGTATCATTTTATTTTTCTGTTGTTTTGTTTTGGTCTTTGTTCTTTTCTCTTTAAAATAAAAAAACCCAAAATAAATTATAGCTATAGAATGTTAAAGTTGAAAAATAGCTTTAGTATCTTCCATTCTAAAGTCTTTCTTGTATAAATGAGTAAACTAAGAATAAAGGAAGTGAACAGTCTTTCCCTATATCAAATAGCAATTGGTTGAAAGCCAAGAATTAAAGCCAGATCTTCTCTGTCCCTGTCCTGGGACATCTTGCATTTTATTAGGGATTTTCAAAGAGAACATCAGATGCATAATGATGCTGATGTTTGAAAACCACTCTGTTATATTACAATGTTGTCCAGGTCCTAAGAAATGACAAAAGTTAGCTAGTGGGAGATATTAATTTTAATTCTTTCTATAGCCTTTAATTCATATAGAGAAATGAGTGTATGATTTAAGAATCACTCATAGCTAATGTTCTGTCCCAAGGTAAGGAAACAGCTCAAAACATTTATAGTTTGAACACTGGTTGACAAAAGAGAAAAGTAAAACCAGTACCCAACCTTCCTCTATTTCTTGAAGAACTTCTGTATGCACCATATCTTTCTCCTAAGAACAAATAAACAACTTCCACCCAAAAAAGGGTTGGGTGCTATGCTTTCACCAGAATATATATAGCTCACCCTACAAATATAAATGGAGTTCCTCTCATAGCTATTTTATTTTTATTTTTATTTATTTATTTATTTATTTATTTATTTGGTTTTTCTCCGGTACCGGGAACCGAACTCACGACCTTGCGCTTGCGGGGCAGGCGCTTTGCCGCTGAGCTAAGTCCCCAGCCCCTTCTCATAGCTATTTTAACATACAGGCATACCACTAGAATTTTATTTCTAGGAAAGTCAGAAGCCTATTTCAGTGCCTCTTCTGTTTCAGACATGGCCCAAATGGAGACAGCTGTCCTGTGGCTAAGAAAATGCCACTGCTTCTCTCTGAGACTCTGACATTTGTAGCACCACATTTCATCTCGCAGGCTTTGTTCCTGGTACACAACAAACTTAAGCCTCAGAAGTTTTCATTTGCATGTGCAAATACAGTTCATTCAAAAAACAAGAAAAAGAATGTATTAACACATTAGAAAAAGCCTTCCACTTGCTTTCCTTGGCTCTAAAGTTTATCAACACCTACAATTTAAGCACTGTCATCCTGATATGCCTGTGATTTTCTTGGAGCATTTAGTTCTTTCTGAATGTCACTTTAAAGCTTTTTTTTTTTTTTAACAGAAGAGCTTTTAGCTTGATGAGGTGATTCTGGCTGTAATAAACTCACCCACTCTATTTCTCTGATTTAATTAGCTACCCCAACACAGATAGGAGCTGATGCTTCCACTGTCACCACCTCACATCACCCAGAACTCCAGGCTCCCCCTACGAAATGATAGCAAGCCTTCTATTTTCCTGACACGCCTTCTATTTTTCCTTCAGGATCAAGTGGACACCCTCACAGACATGGTTGCCCATTTTGAAGAAATAAGCCACCCCGATTCCGGGGAAATGCGGGCAAGGCAAGAGTCCTTGGTGTCCCGGTTTGAAGCTCTGAAAGAGCCACTGGCTACCCGGAAGAAGAAGCTCATTGATCTACTCCACCTGCAGCAGATCTGCAGAGACTCGGAGGATGAGGAGGCCTGGATCCAAGAGACTGAACCCTCAGCAGCTTCTACCCACCTCGGTCAGTATGATCCGAGCAGGCTGAACCATAAGAAGATCCAGGTCTGCAGATAAATGTTCGAGACATCTAGGCTAGAGTAGTGAAGAGGGGAAAAGTTAGCTCTCAGCTCTTTCCCTTCACACTCAAGAAAATTTGTTCAGCCCTCCATACATTTTATACATACTGTACATGAGTAATGGTATGGATTTGATGCCTCTTGCCTAAGTTATTGTGAAAGTTCTTAACTGAGCAGTCATGATTCATCCTCAAGTATATTTATACCACGTATTTTCATCTAAGTTATTGGTGGCCCCCTTCATAACTGTACGAGCTATCACAAAGAGGAAGTAGCAACACGGTATGATAGTTTTACCCTTTGGAAACTACTAGTCTACACGTGTCAACACCAGGACACTTACACTGAAGTAGCCTGGGAAAAAGTGGAGCTAAATATAATGCAATGCTGTGCCCATGTGTTGGGGACAAATATGTGGGACTGGACAATAAGAATAAAAGCTTTGTCTGTGGAAATTTTCAGAAAAGCCTGTAGCTGATTGAAAAAGCACAGAGAATTCCTTGAGAGGTAGTCTGAATGGGAAGTACAGGAAAAGAAAGTTTGGATAGAAAAGAGGAAAAGTATGGTTAGTAGATAGGGAGGATAAGGCAGGCAGTTAGGATTGGGGATTTTAGAAGGTTGAGAAAATTCACAGTAGTGATATTCACTGACTGATGTTAACATTAGGCAACAAATGAAACACTTTTTATAAGCTACTTCTATCCCTTAAGATAATCCCAAACCTTGAAATTCTTTCTTTGCAGGCAAGGACTTGGTTGTAGCCAAGAAACTTTTGAACAGGCACCAAGTGATCTTGGCAGACATTGACAGTCATGAGCCTCGCATCCGCGTGATAACAGAAAGGGGCAATGCAATGGTAGACGAAGGTATGTGATGTATGATTCGGATCAACTTGGCCCAATCATCACGACTCAAGACCTCTCTACAGGCTTAGGACTTGAAGAGAATTTTAAAATAACAGATACATTTTCCCACCCAATGCTGAACTTCCTTTCTAAGATTTCTAACGCATGTATATACAACTTTGTGTACTCTGATGACAGGACCATCCCAGACTCATGATCCAGTCCTCTTGATTTGTCATTAAGCCAAAATTATTAGAATGACTTTACCCTAAACATAAATACACTTTCTTGTGGAAGTTATGGAATTTAAACTCCAGGTTCTGAAGGTTTCTAAAACAGGTCAAGTCCCTTTCATGTAGGAGTTTCAGTTCTATGAAGATTCATGTTCCTGGTGCCTAATTATCGTATTGGCAAACAGTGCTGTTTCTTTGTATTTCTCACTTTATATAATTTCAATGACACTTCTCATGCTGGTTTTTCATATTCAGAAACCTCTACTGCTTAAGTAAGATGTTCAGATTTGATCATCAGAGGTCAGCTGTAGCATAAGTACAGTACAGATTATGTTGAGATTTTTCCCCTAGTCAAAAGAAACAGCAATACCTTCCAGGCAGTATCTGCCTTTCAAAAGCATAAAGATGCAATTTGAGGATGCTGGGTGTGATAATACCAGTACTCTATCAGGTTGAGGCAGGAGGATTGTAAATTCAAGCCCTCCTTGGGCAACTTAGCAAGTTAGCAAGATGCTGTCTCAAAAAAAAAATTATTTTAAGGGCTAGAAATGTAGTTTAGTGCAAAGGCCCTGGGTTCCGTCTCCAGTACTGAACAGAAAATTCAGTTTGATGAGCAAAAGTTCCGATGCCATCTGAGTGATTCAAACCAACATTTTTTATTCCCATGTTGCTGTAGAAACTCATCTTTTATTTCTTTAAATCTTTGATTGGAGGTATGGATTTTGTCCATTTCTCCTTTTATTTTTGTTTTTATGTTATGTATTATAAAGTTCCATTAGAATTGTTATATATTGTTGATGAATTTAAAATCATCCTAATGATGTCAAATATTCTTCTTTATCCCTGGTGATATTCCTATTCTAAATATACTTATTTGACCTCCAATACACACATTTGAACTGTTTCTTCATTAGATTTTCATGGTATATGCAGTGGTACCTCAGTTCATGTACTTAATTAATACCATGATCCCAGGGAAGATGGCCTTAGTCATGTTTGTCATCAATGCAGAGTTTTTGACCAATAGAAAAATTTTGCCAAACACTTCTGTTTGAACTATTTGAGAACAGAATTCTGTTTGCAAACAATTATTTGCAAACAGAATAATGCTTCTGTTTGAATTACTTGCAAACAGAAGCATTTCTGAACCAAGGTATTAATGTATTTCTCCACCCTTTTTTCATTTAAAAAATTATTTGAAGCACATTTCTTGTGTCTTCTTTGCATCTGTACTTAGAATGAATCTATTTGATCTTCATGTTGACCTGTTAGTTACAGCTCCATTTTGTATAAGTATGTGTTTATTCTAGGGCAGTGATTTTCCAGTTGCCGCTTGGGTTCCCAGAGACACTTTCAGAGCGTGCACAGTGTAAAGATATTTTTATAATAACATGAAGGCACTACTCTCTCCATATTATACTAACACACACTAGAGCTTAAAAGATACATAGTGATGCCATTTCCCAATTGTCTAATAGAATATATATTTGTATATTCTTTAACGTCAACCTTTTTTCACTGTGATTTGTGATATAGTCATCAGTAAATCCAACCAGGTAATCAAAAGCTTTGTAGAGGTTCTCAATATTTTAGTTTCATAGTGATTCTGACTGCAAAAAACTGAGAGCTATTGCTCTAGGACTTAAAACACAGATCTTTAATTTGTGACAACATAAGCTCAAATAATATATCATTTTAAGGTCCATAAATATGTATTTCTGTTATCTCATTTTACACTATGATAAATTGCTTTTGCTATCACATATTTTAGTTATATATATTATAAACCCTACAATGTATTATCATTATTTCTATTTATTTTAGTCAGCTTTGAAAAGGACTAAGAGATGAGAAAATTGCCCATATATTTACCATATCCAGTGATCTTCATTCTCTTGTGTAGATCAATATTTCCACATCTCACTTTCCTTTTGTTTGATGAACTCCCTCTAACATTTCTGGTAGTGCACATCAGCTAATGATAAATCCTCTAATATTGTGTTCATCTAAAAGTCTATTTTACCTTCATTTTGAAGCATATTTTTACCAAGTATAAAATTGTTGATTGACAGTTTCTTTCAGTCCCTTAAAAATGCTGCTACATTGTCTTGCAGTTTCTGATGAGTCTGCTGTAATCATTACTATTGTCCCTTTATATATGATGCCTCTTTTCCCCTGACTCTTAAGGTTTTCTCTTTATCACTTATGTTCATCAACTTTATTATAGTATAAGTAAAAGTGGTTTTCTTTATTTCTTTAGCTTGGTATTCATTGAGTTTCTTGGTTCTACTCAGTTATGGTTCTTCCAGGGAATAGTTTATCCCAAGACTGATTTAGAGATGACCAAGTACTAAGATATTACCTTTCTAAAGACTCTACTTCATGTATTACAATATCCTTCCACTTTGTTGTGTGACTGTTTTAATGATTTACAGTTTACTACAAGTCCCAGAAATTCTCTGACCACTGTCTTCAAGTTGTCCTTTCCTCATCATCTAAGAGTTTCCTTATGTATGAGTGGAAATGAGTAATGAGTCAGATACCCCAATGGACCTCTGCCTGTATCTCTGACGCTCCATCAGTGTGGCACCCTCCTCTTTAGTACTTTAACTCCCAAATTCTAGTTGCTTTTGCTCTCTCAAACTCTGATCTCTGTCTCCTCAACTCAGTATTGAAGTTGAGAAGACTGTAAATTCTGGATGAGTTAGCACTACTAGCACTGCATCCAAAAACTACCCAGGGCATTCTGGGTAGTTATAACAAGACATATCTTAGTTCTTTCCTTTCTTTTATGCTTCTGAAATCCATCCTAACTTATAGTCTGTCCTCTTATCTAGTTGTTTAGAATGGAAGACCATGTTCTATAATAAATCTCCAAAGAGCAGAAATCTATTGATTTTATTGTTTAGTCTAGAGAATATGAGCCTTTCATACCCTGTGCATAAATCACACTAGTCTTTCATCTTCTTGTCTGCATTTCTTAGACTACACTAACCTATTCACCATCGCATATGCCTATTTATCCCCCATTGACACCTATTACTGTTTTGTCTCAGGTAAAACATTCTAATTCCCATGGAAGTTAAGAAAATATTCAAATGGGAAGGGGAACAAGGGGGTGGGGAAGAAAGGACAGAAGAAGCAAAAAAGGAGAGAGAGAATAGAAAGTGAAATGGAAACAAAGCTTTTGTAGATAGGGGAAAGAGAGCTGAAGGGTGACTAGGGGAATAGGAAAAAAAATCATGTTATATCACATACAGGTTCAAAATCCCTATGATGAGTGTGATCATCATGTATACATAAAATATACTAATAAAAATCATTTTCTTTGGAAAAAAGAGACAATTACAGTTTAGCTAAATGTAACACCATCCACATGACTCTCTTCTCCCAGGTTACAAAATGTATTAAGTCCCGCAGGGCATTAATGAGGGTCATTCTCAACTTAATGCCAATCAGCAAAGGGTTGTTTTGCTCAATTTGGATAGAAATCACAAATTGAAAAAAGCGTAGCTCTGCCAGTAGCTTGGAGTTCTGAGTGGCAACGGTCCTCAGCCCACTGGTGCCCAGAATCCCTGTAACTCTTGACCATTACTGTGACAGCTCTGGGCCCTCAGCCACCCCTGTCAGCTCCATAGTAGCTGAAGCTAACCCTATGCAGCTATCCATTACACTTCTTAGCAGCTCCCATTGGTTCCACTCAAGTCTGTTGCTGATCACTGTGATCAACACTAGTTGTGCAAGCCCATAGCAACTGTTGGCATCTGCTGCTTATCTCCACTGATCTTTGTTGGCTGTTGCTAGTCTTTGTTGTCTGTTTCTGGAGCTCTTCAGGACTCACAGCCCCATTTTTTAAAACAACTGCTGAGCCCATAGTACATAGGATAAGAATTCTGAGTGAATTTACAGGACCTTTGAGTAGTGAATTATATGCAGATTTATAGGACCACTGTTATAAGAATTTACATGAGCAGGGCCTGTGCTGGTGCATAGGCCTTCAGTGCACCAGTAGACTAGACTAATTCAAGCAATGTGATAGGAGTGCTGCATATATACTGCTGCTTATACAGAGCAGTAGAAGAAGCAGAGTTATCTGCTATAGTCAGGGCAGATACCTCCTGAAGTGGATGTAAGACATACAGAGAGCTGCAACTGTCCTGACTACAGTTTGGGGGTGTATCAGGGGGAGCAGTAGTGTGGTAGCTGTCCTGTCCCTGTGAAATGGAGGGGTTAAATCAGACTACTTCCACTTTGAGGAGTCTCCAGGAGGGCTACTGTGTCAGTTACAGCTTATTGGGACTGGGGACTTGAGGGATGCCAACAATGAGCCCAGATCCCTCTTTGGTCTCTGCCCCATTAGGGGCAGTTTCCCAGCTACTTGTCATAGAGATGGCATCAGCATCAGGAATGGCAGGAACTAGAAAATGGCACTGGATGTTCAACCAAGTTACATGTTTTAAAGCAGCTGAGAAGTAACCTTAGGGGTGGCAGAAGGCCACTGGGCAAGTTGACCCAGTCTATTCTCAGGAGACCTTGGGGGAGTAAAGGGAAGTGAAGGGAGAGGGTTGATGGCTGTTGGTAGAATCACATCCCCTTCAGCTGGCATGGGAAAAGAAAAGGTCAAGTTGGTTAAGATATTTCTGTGTGACTCACCTTACTTTCCAACTACTGTGTAGGACACTTCGCTGCAGAAGATATAGCCTCGAGGGTTGAGAGTCTGAACCAGAACATGGAGTCTCTCCGTGCTCGAGCTAAGAGGCGGCAAGATGATCTCGAGGCGAATGTCCGTTTCCAGCAATACCTGGCTGACCTGCATGAAGCAGAAGCATGGATCAGAGAGAAGGAGCCCATTGTGGACAACACTAACTACGGGGCTGATGAAGAAGCAGCTGGGGTGAGCTGGGGGCAGGATGAACTTTCTGGTGAATACTCACCAATGCTGCAAAACTGTTCATTCAAAGTTTGTGTAGAGTGTGAGACAGCTACACATTCTGCTAGGTTATTTAGGGATCCCAGAGTGATCACCTCTGGTATTCATCTTCTGGAATACCCTCAGAGTCAATAGGGAGTCCCAAAGATCACATTTTTACAACCCCACAAAAATTCCTTAATTCTCTAGTACCTATACCCAAAGGCTTGAGCAAATATTCATGCTTATCTTTGTCCCATTCTGAGCTTCTCAGAGTAAACTTGAGCTTTCATAAACATACCGTGGGTCTAATATACAGGCATTTTAATTTTTAATTGAAATATTATCAGACAAACAGATATGTTGGGGCAAGAAGAACCTCAAATATCATAGTTATACTTTATATCTATTTCTTCATTCTGTTCCTTGTCCTGTGGGTACACTGTAGAGTATTTCAGAAACCTTGAGTATTAGAAGTAGTGAGCTTGTACATTTAAAGTTATGTTAATATTTATCCTAAGAAGTAACATTACCAATAGCACCCTCTTTTAGGTGTGATGTGTACTGATTAAAATATGTATAAATTTGAGCTAACCTAGGTGCTAGCAGATGTATTGAAATCTTGTTTGTTTATTAACTCAGTCTTTAAGAATCTTGCAAACATAGGATTAATACAAAAATCTTTGTAATAGAAGGAAAGTAGCTTTTACTAGGATTTAAGACAGTCAGCGTGACCTAAAATATTAGTGGTTGAAGCATCCCGCTGGTGTGTTGGTTGTTCCTGCTGCCTTTGTCCTGATGATCTTCTTACCATAAATCCAGGCTCTTCACAAGAAGCATGAGGCCTTCCTGGAGGATCTTGCTGTGTTTGGACAGACTATGAAAGCACTACAGGAGCAGGCAGAAGCCTGCCAGGTAAGACAGACATGGCAAAGACAGAATTGCATCCCTTGCCGCAGAAGCAAAGTAATTTTCTTTATTATCAATTGTTACTTCCTAAACATGAGAAAACCATTGCTGATAAAATACTGAGTTTTATAATCTTTCAGTCAGGAACTGTAACATCTTTATCACATCAACAGAGATTTAATTCAAAAGAAACAATTAACATTATCATGTATTCATTAATGTCTGTTTGGCTTTTCTCTTGTCTTTTTTATATCCTGCCTCCCTCCTTTCTTCCTCTGTCCCTCCCTCTCTCCTTCCCTTCCTATTTGCCTGGCTCTCTTTTAATCTTCTTAATTTCCTTCCTTCATTCTTTAATCTTTTTGTACTAATGCTTATGAACTGTCTACCATATGCGGGCATGAATGAAAATAATTTTGACTTGCATGAAAATGACACTTAATTCAGGGACTGGAAATTTGAACAATACTTGCATATACTACATGTATGAGCAACAGCACAAAAGAATCCCAAAGGAAAGAACCTTTTGTTTCCCTGAAATAAGAATACCAGCAGACAAAAAATTCCATAGCTAAGAGAAACCATTTTATCTGAGTTCTTTTTCAGTTAAGTGTCCTTTTCTGTGTGGATACAAGTAAAAGTGTTTTTCTAGTCTACAAATCATGTGAGTGAATGCACTGACACAAAAAACAATCAAACATATTAAGGAAATTGGAATGAAGTTGGTTGAGAATGTGGGTGCATGTAGAGCATAAGGTGGTAAGGAGTGTTATAAAAAGCAATGAAATTGGAATCAAATGAACCATATAAAATTGCTTCCTGCATGTAAAGGAAGAAGATGAATACAGATGAATTCTTACATTCAAGGATTCTTTCTAACAAGAAGCACAGAATTCATATACACATGAACTAAAGAGAAAACATAAGCTCAGTGTGTCAAATCAACACTTATAATACTCCTGGCTAAGACTTTGCCAGCCTATACACAGAGGATAGATAGGAAAACAGACAGGCATATGTGAGGCACAGTAAAAGGAAAGTAGTAATTGAAGGATATTAAATCTAAGGATGTATAAGGTAAGGTCTATTTTCAATGTCATTCTGAGAGACAGGGTGGGTGATTGCTTGAGAGGTTATGGCTGGTTCATTCTCTTAGTGATATATTTACAGAAAGTAAAACTCATGAAATCTCCCTTGGATGTCAGGTTGTTTACTAAAAGTGAGATGGAAGACAATTCTATTTTTTTTTCTTTTTTTTATTTTTGGTACCTGGAATCAAACTCATGGCTCACGCTTGCCAGACAGGTGCTGTGCTGCTGAGCTGTATCCCTGGCATGAAGATGATCCTAATATAGTTTATGTTCTCAATTTTTAAAAGTTTGGGGCCTGACCCTTGCTGTAGACTACCCATTCCTAAAGTACTGTATGAGGTCCACAGTTCATTGACATAATGACTTAAAAACCAACCAAGGACGAAGAATTGTCAGTAGGGGCCTGGGGAATGGGAAAGTGAGGATCACAGTGCATCTTTCACTGCAACAGTTTTCCGAAAATCTCATATACATAATCTCTTCAGGCCTTCTCAGAGAAACATATTACCCATGGCACTTCAAGTAGAGTAGCTTAGAACATTTTTGTTTCTGAAAAACTGCATATTAGTTTGCTTGCTCCATGTTCATATTTCCTTAATTGCCAGTCCTCTGATACACATTACAGTATAGCAATATCTCTGAACCACTTATTGTCCCCTCTTTTTATTTTTGGCCTTTAAATATTTATTGCTTTGTACATTATTTGCAGCACACAATGATTACCTTTGTAGTGGGGGCTCGGTACACATACATGAGAAATCTTAATTAGTTCTTCCTCCTTACTCCTTCCATCCCTCCCAGCTCCTTCCAACTCTTGGTCTCCCTCCCACATGCAAAAGCTCTATTTCCATTTTTTTGTTCAACTTTATTTTTTTTTCCCAGTACTGGGAATCAAACTCACGACCTTGCTCTTGCCAGGCAGGCGCTGTGCCACTGAGCTAAACCCCCAGCCCTTATCAACTTTATTTCACTCATCCCATTTCCTTCCCTGTTCTCCTCCCTCCCCCACATCTCTTGTTCCCCTTCTTATTTGTATCAGGTCTCTGTTTTCATTATCTGTCTTTTATTTTACCTTTTATTTGTATTTTGGGTTTCATGTATAAGAGAAACCATGAGATACTTAAGCTGGTGTGTCTGATTTATTTCCCTCTTGCAGCCATGATAGAGGTTCCAGGCAGAGGCTTCTCCCTCTCAAGTGGCTCTGGGGACTGCCCACCACATGCAAGGTCCTCAGGGAGATATTTCCAATGGGTAATTTTCAACTGTTTCCTGTTTTATTTTCTTTTTCAGCAACAACAGGCTGCACCAGTGGGAGATGCTGCTCAAGAAGTGAGAGTTCTGGCTTTATTTGACTTCCAGGCCCGTAACCCACGAGAAGTCACCATGAAGAGGAATGACGTCTTAACTCTACTCAGTTCCTTCAACAAGGTGACTTCTCCTTTATCTTTATTCTCATCCACAAAATGGTTCTTCCACAGGTGTCTCACCTAATCTGCCAGCTATTCATACTTTGATTAGGCAACATTTCCCATCTCTTTTTTGCTTAATAAATTATAATTTGTTAAGTAGTACTTTAGTAGTATTTTCTCCACATATTGTACCTGATCCTATACATGCCTTTGGAATTATAATTCTAATTTTACAGTTAAAGAGATAAAGAATCAAAGAAGTAAGACATGACTGCTCCTTTCTTCCTGTCCCTTTGCTTGTTTCTGCTCTTTTCCACTCTTCCTTGCGATAGAACAACAATGTCTAGGGTAGCAGGAGCCCAATAAGAGGCATATCTTTTATCAACTCAGCTTTCTTTAGATTTTCTGCTCAAGAGAATTATGATAAAATATTGCCTGGGACTTTTAATGTATTTTTTCATAAGAAGTAACTTATTATATTCTAATACCTACTTAGTGTCCAAAAAGTTCTTGGGAAGCAGATAATGTGGGATAGGGTTTCTCTGAAGATCTCTGAATGCTTTGGAGAGGTAAGTTGTCCCATTGTCAAATCAGCTGTGCGATAGTGTCCTTTCTCTTTGTCTAGTCCTCCTCATTTCACCCCACAATTCCTTAAGAATTTAACTGTAGAATGGTTAGTACAACAGCACTCCAAAAAGAAAAAAGTGTTGAATTTCAGGGCAGTTAGTTGGTTTGCACCTCTGAAAGTAGGGTATGGAGGAAAACTTGTGCAATGCTGTTAAGCACAGATGTCCCACCCTCAAGAAGCCCAGCTGGATTCTTGGTGAACAAAGAACCCCATCTACAGGATAACTATCTTTGGGGGTTGAAACTTCTCCATACTTATGGATCTGACATCAAATTAGTTAATTTCAGGGTTTTGCCTCTACAACCTCTGCAACTCATTCCTTGTGCTATGTGGGAATCAACTGCCCCCCTATATGCAATGGTTAACTTCTCTTGGCCACCAGCCAATCTGTGCCTAGAGACTTAAGGATTAGTAAATCTTCTCTTGCTTATGGATTTTCCAAGAATTATGGAATCTGCTTCATTTCAGGACTGGTGGAAGGTTGAAGCCGATGATCACCAGGGCTTTATCCCAGCCAACCATGTCAGGAAACTGGCCCCAGATGAGCTCCGGATGCTACCACAGAGGCGACGAGAAGAGCCATTCAACATTGCCCAGCGCCAGGAGCAGATCGAACACCTGTAAGCTCTCGAAACTGGAGGACTTTGGGCAAATATTTCGTACTGGTTGAAGGTTCCTATTCATGACTCTGTGTCTGTTCAGTTAGAGGTAAAAATTAACAGCTTTTAAGGGCTGAAGTAACTTATGATCCTTCAAAAACTGAAGGATTTATGTGAAGAAAGGGAACACCAAAACTATCAAGCTAGTTGCCTGAGATACTGTCTCTCTGACTCCCTGCCAAGCATTCTTTCAAGGGTATCAAACCATCTTCTGCCATCTCTACGAACTTTCTTCTTTCTGTTTCAGTTTATTTGTCAGTTTGCAGAAAAAAATTTACAGAATGGGAAATGATGTGGTTAGCAATATTGTTAGGGCATTGGAATTTTTATAATTTATAAATGTAATACTGTGTATCGCTGCGCCTAATGCCTTTTTATTTCCATCTTCATTTCTTCCTCTCCTTTATTTCTCCTTTAAAATTTTTTTCTTCCTTCCCTTTTGGTCCCTTTCACCCTCCACTCCTCCCACCTTGCCTGTATTCCGTATTTTCTCCATTTGCTTTCCTGTTCTCTTCATTTTCTTCCCAGGTACGTCTCCCTCCTTGATCGCGCAGAAGAGCGCAGGCGTCGACTACTGCAACGTTACAATGAGTTCCGGCTGGCTTATGAGGCGGGAGAGATGATGGACTGGATCAAAGAGAAAAAGGAGGAGAACACAGGCATTCAACTAGATGACGTCTGGGAGATGCAGAAAAAATGTGATGAGTTCCAAAGGGTGAGAAGGCGAAAACTTCTCTAGACACTGTTTTGAGGGTTGTCACTATCTTCTTTTAGCCCATGTCTCCTCCAGAGTAATTTTTACAATTTACTTCATACTCATTGATTATCATTCCCAAAACTACTGACAGCTTCATAGTCCAGATCCTCCTCTGGGTGCTGTCCCTGGTAATAGCTGGAAGACAAATGCAAGGGAAAGCAGTACCTTAACTTGTTAGCCTACACTCCTGTCATCTCAAAATCCTGATCTACCCAGCTACCCCCAAACTTGCTCCACAATATACTCTATACCTGACATCCAGGTTGGGATGCAAAGTTGTGGGACTTTGTTTTAGAATTTAGAGCAGAGGCTGTGGGAGAAATAATGCCTACTTTTCAGCCAGACAATGTCTGTTTCTTTACCTAAAAACCTTTCATCATCCTTTCTTCTCTGACAATTGTTCCATTATCTTAATTAGCACAGCACAAATTTCTTCTTTCTTCTCATTACATTCTCTACATGCAATTATACTTGTATATGTTATATATAAAATTATACATAATATTACATGTGAAATATGTAAATATTATACATAAAATTATATATATGTACACAATCTCACTCTTTTATATAAAACCTCTTGATATAGGGAGTTCCATCTCTCTCACTCTCTCAGAGATAGAGGGAGTTTTCTTCAACATCCCATAATACAGAAATATTGTAACTCAGGCATTGAAATGCTATGAAGTTAGAGGAATTTGTAATGATATAAAATAATTTTACACAATTCAAGTATAGATCCGTCTGATAGTACAAATGAATTCAGGGAAAGATTTTAAGAAACCTAAGAAGATACATGTGCTACATACTCCAGACAAATAATGGTTATCTTGGTAAACTTTAGTGGCCACTGCGTAATGTGGTTAAACGCACTCTTCTAGTGTGGCAAATATGAAAATAGCTTTTGCATTGCAAATGAATTTCGTAATATGTTTTAATAATATGTTAGTAATATGTTTAATAACATGTTTTAGCCAAATGGGAACCAAGATGGACAGGTAAATATGGAAGATTTTTGAAAGCAGGATTTATAGTACTTGAACAAATTTTTTCGTCCAGGATTTGAGGACCAATAAGCCTCGACTAATGGAAGTGAACAAAGTAGCTGATGAGCTGCTATTTGAAAAACTTCTAACACCAGAAGGTGCTCACATCCGGCAGGTAACTAAGGGTCCCTGCATTTCTCCTCAGTACCTGGTGGGGCTTAAGAGTCCTCCTTCTGCTTTAATATACTCAGCTTTGTAGGCCTCATAGCAGTTGGGAGATATGGGAGGTAACGGCAGTATGAAGCTTATTATAGAAAAGGCCAAGGACAAGAGTCCAAATAGTAGATCCGTTTTTATGGTCTAAATAAATGTAATTCAGGTTTAAATTAATTCTTGTTTATTGTCTAAATAAATGAAAAGGAGGTTTATTTATTAACATCTATTGAGTATCCTCTATGTTCTCACATAAGTATTTTTGTGAAGAAAAGAGGGCTTCCTCCAAAAAACCACAACTTTTGAATTATAACTTTGGAACACATGTACTTGAAATGACTTGAAATTCTTTCATTACAAAATGTACTAATGCCCTCATCACTGTCGTGCTGTCTAGGGTTCAAATACTTGCGTGCAATAAAAAGCCAATCTAGAAGTTATTATATGTGGCACACCTATAATCCCAGCACTCAGGAGGCTGAGGCAGGGGGCTCATTGTGAGTACAAGACCAATCTGGGCTACAAAGTGAGTTCAAGGCCAGCCTGAACTGCATAGCAAGAAACTGTTTCAAAAAGAGAAAAAAAAAAGTTATGGCAGTGGGAAGAACTTAATCAAGAGAGTTTGCTAGAAGGTATAGGTTCTGATAAACATAATAAGAAGAGAATTTAAAGGAAGAAATAATGAGAATGGGAGAGGGGAATCCTTCACTTGACTTGTGTCTTGAGCTATGATTCCATGAAAAGATAGACTTTAATAAAAAGATCAGTCTTGTTCTTATTGTCATAAGCCAGTGGGGAAAAGTTCCTCGCCTCTTCCTTTGGTGATTGTCACTGAGTAAGAAGGGGCAGGAATATGCACGAAAAAAATGTACTTACTCGCTACAGAAAGTAAGGCTGTAAGAGGCCACTACTTCCATTCAATTCAGAATGTGGAAAATTATTATATCTTCCCTAGAGGATTGTGCCAGCTTCTAACTCTAAGTGGAACATTTTTCACTCATTTTCAGAGTAATGTAGTCTCTGTTACAGTAACAAAGGTGTTACAATAAACATTGATTATTGCTCCAAGGCAGATGGTTTTGGTTCTACCCTGGAATATCAGTTTAGAAAGAAAATAAATCCCTTTCTCTGCTACAATGGCATAAATATGGACCAAACTCAGGCTGCCCAAGAAAGAAGTAATGTTGCACAATGTCTGAGGAAAATGACATGAAGGAGTCATTCAAATCACAGCTAGTCATAGGTACCATTGAGTCATCTGAGCTGGCTCTCCTTCTAAAGTCTAATTGATCTGCTTCTTTTAGGAACTGAATACCCGCTGGGATTCATTGCAGAGGCTTGCAGATGAACAGCAGCAACTGCTCAGCAGTGCCCATGCTGTCCAGGTGTTCCACAGGTAAGAATTTCGACCACGAAATTGCTGCTATTCTCGAATCCACACACAGAGCTCACAAGTCTGGCTACTGTGGCAGAGCTACAGCTCTTAGTGCAACCCTTCTTCCTCAGTCAGTGACAACTGTACTAACGGGGATCGAGTTTTCAGTAACAGATTCCTCACTTGCACATTGTACACAGAAGCACAACAAACTTTAACATTGTGATACCTGGCTCAAGCCCTGGGATGTAATTAATAGTTTATATATGTTTTCATGGGATTGAATCAATCTGGGATCAGTCTGGAGTTATAAACAAGAGGTTTACATCCTTCTATTCCTGAACTAGAAGCAGTCAGTAAAAGGTAGCAAGCATCACATTGAGTTATGTGAGCTGTCCAACTGTTCATTCTGTCTTTCTAGGTTTCATTCACACACTCATGCCTACACTAAAAAGGAGAAATATGCATGCAAATAAGTAAACAAACAAAAAGTATAAAAACTGAAACCAAAGATGTTCCTGTGTCTAAATGTGTTTATAAGGTGCAGGGAAGAGAAAACAGATTGGATAGGTCTGGCTGGTTGTTAGCTTAAAATGGGAAGCCCTGGAAGGTGATGCTTGAACATGCGGCTCTGGACTCCTTGTCTTAAACTCGGTCTCCACTGTTTGGAAGGAGTGTTATCTTGCAGAATATTCATCTTCTTTGAGCCCAAATATTTTGTAATAGATAAAGGGCATGATAATAGCTGTCAAGATGAAAGGAGTCTCAAGGTAGTAAAGAAAAAAGTAATGAAGGATAGTGGTGGTGGAGGTGGAGGTGGTAGTGAGTTCCTTGTAAGCCCAGCTAGTCTTCCTCTGATACACATCACTACTCCTAAACTCTTTATTCTCTCATCTCTCAGAGAAGCAGATGACACGAAAGAGCAGATTGAGAAGAAATGCCAGGCCCTCAAGATTGCTGACCCTGGCTCAGACCTGCTCAGTGTCCAGGCCCTTCAGCGCCAGCATGAGGTCTTTGAGAGAGAACTCATCCCCCTGGGGGAGAAGGTGAGACATGCGCTTCCAGGTTTCCCTAGTACCTTCTTCTATATGTTTACACCACCACCAATGCCCTTCTGTGGTTTCTCTTCCCCAGTCTTTTCATTTTTATCTATTACTTTGTCTTGTACCATATTTGTTTTTCTCTTGTACCCTGAATCATGGCAACTAAAAGGGAGTAATTACACAGGGAAAAATATACTAGACTTCTCAGGGAGAAACCTATGTCCTTTTACCTCTTTAGTGAGAATCAAGTGATCAGACTGGGTAAGTGGTTAGAGATCAGTGCTCTAGGAGAAAGCAAATACTCACACACTGAAAGTTGCAGCCTGTGTCTGAACAGCACGTGATGTTTCCTCAGCTGGAAACTGAATAAGTTTAATCTATACCAAACCCCAAAGTGAAGTCTGGAGCCTTCTAGATTCATCAGAGGCAGGATACAGCTTGTTATTACCATGCAGGACAAAAGGAACAGAATTTGCTTACACGGGAAAGACACATGAAGAATCTCACATGAAGAACCAAGACCCTTGGGTTCTCTAACTGAAGTTACCAGTAACCAGCATAATAGCTTAACAATTCTTCCTATACAGCTCTGTATTTTTAAAAGAATGGTTAGTTTAATCTTGAGTCCTTCTGAGTTACCATGTGAAATAAAAGACTGATAGCATTTTATGAAGTATTAAGATGTGATTAAATATTATTTGTGTCTCCTTGATGTTATGACTCCCAGAACTCAGGATTCTTGTGTTTGTTGAAATTCAGGTGCTAGGCTGCTTACTAGATCTCTTGTGCCTCGCAGGTCACCATGTTGGGGGAGACATCAGAGCGGCTCAGTGAGTCCCACCCGGATGCCATCGAGGACATGCAGAGACAGCGAACAGAGCTGAACAAGGCCTGGGATGAGCTGCAGGAGCTTACAAAGGATCGCAAGGAGAGCCTGAGTGAGGCCCACAAGTTCTACCTGTTCCTCAGTAAGGCCAGGTAAAGCTCGAAAGGAAGACGGCTGCCAGGCAGATGGGATTCTCCATATCTGGCCCTACGTGAAGCTGCTAGGGACAGTTTGGGTTCAGATGCTATTCACTGCTGGGTTTGGGAGACACCACTATGGCCAAGCCTTACCTCCGGTAGTACTAAAAGATGCCAAGTTCAACACTTAAAGCCATAAAATATTGACAGTTAAAGGAATGCGAGGCTACATAAGCCAGTTAAGTAAGCTGTAAGGTGCATGTTACATATAAGAGACTATGTCAGAATTTATAGAGCATGGGGGTTTTCTTTCTGCTGAGAGGCAGAGAAGCATACAGATAACCATGGTGAAACATAACAAAACACACATCTTAAGCCAATGAACGTGAGGATCCAGAGAGAGAGAAACAGAATATTCTTTACTGGTCAGAATGAGAAAGCAATTCATACAATGTAACTGTGCAAACAAAAGCACAAGGACACCGGGGGTACAGCTCAGGGGCACAGCTCCTTCCTGGCAAGCATGAGGTCCCGAGTTTGAGTCCCAGTGGGGTCAAAGAACAACAAGGATAAGAAAAGCAGAGAATATTCATGAAGTGGGAGAATTATGGCATGAATTTTATGTTGGAGATTGTGAGGGAAATAGCAAGAGATGTTTAAAATGCTCAGATAAAAATCCTGTAGAATTTTCAATGTCATGCTATAACCTACCAAGACATCATAATCAAAAACATACCTTCCAAATACACATTCTGTGGAGGGCTTCTGCCCTTCATATCAGTTTGCTTGGAGAATCATTCAGAAATGAAGGTCTAGAAAATAGTAATTTGAGAAATAAAAAAAAAATGTTATACTTGTTTTCAGCAATTTTTCCTCCAATGTAGTAACTCCATAAAACCCCCAGAAGGATGCCTCCTTCTCCTTATGAAATCTTATTTCTCAATATTATAAAATTACAGTAATATTCCCAGCCTTGAGGAATACTGACACCTTATTTTGTCATTTTATAATGCTTTTGCTTTGAGTTTTTTAGATAGCTACTAGTGTCTATGTCTTATATGAGTTTGATATTTACTAGGCACCTAACACCACTTGCATGAACACATCAGTAGATTAGTTTATAAGAAAATCTCTTCCTTAGAGCTTAAGATTCCTTTTTAGAGAACAAGATTAGGTATATGTTTATGTGAGTCTTAATTTTACTCTCACACGTAACTTCTAAAGTAATGCATGGTTAACATCTTCCCTCTGGAAGAATAGATCTTAGTTTTATCTTGTGTAACTTCTTGACTATTAAGAGAAGATCAAGATGCATAACTTGATTTAAACAATAGTATGTGTCATGTGCGTATATATGTGTGTGTGTGTGTGTGTGTGTGTGTGTGTGTGTGTGTGTGTGTGTAGGGCCAGACTGTTGTCCTGAATATGGTGGGGAGAATAGTAATAGGAAAGATACACTTTCCCTGATAATCCATTATAGACTGTATCTTTAAATTCCCAACACCACTTGAAGGAACAGGAATGTAGAAGTAATGATATATATGAGTCCAGGATTCCAAAGATCTGGGATGATCAAATTGTTTAACTTCTCTGAGTTGACTTCTTCATCTTCAGAAAGGAAGTCAAAGTATTCTCAGAATTCTCAATATAATTACTCTAGACATTAAACAACATAATATATAAAGAGATTTTCAAATGCAAGGGGTAACTATTAAGTAATGCAGTGAAAACAGCAAATCTAACACAACATATAAACTATACAAAGCTAGATAGAAAGTATTATTTAGAAAATGTTTTCTGAATGAGAAATCTGTAGAAAGCCCTGTAGCCAGTTGTAAGATCTTCTTTCCAATCCCAGTATGTCTATTTCTCTAGTGACCTAGAGAATTGGATGAAAGACATTGGTGGTATGGTGTCATCCCGGGAGCTTCCCAGTGACTTAACTGGCACTGAAATCTCGCTAGAGCAGCACCAGGTATGTGTGACTATGATCCACAGCCACTGATCCCTTGATTTGATAGGCTACCCTCATTAAGTGTTTTCAACAGAATTGTCCTCACTAGTCTCTTCATGTTTCTTCACAGGAGCATCATAGAGAAATGGAGGCAGAGACCTCCACCTTCCAGGCCTTGGAAGAATTTGGCAGAGAACTTATTGACAGTGGGCATAGCAATAGCCTTGAAATTGAGAAAAAGCTTCAAGATATCCAACAAAACAGAGACAATTTGGAGGAAGCTTGGGCAAACCGCAAAAAGATTCTAGAGCAATGTCTGCAATTCCAGGTACAGAAAACTCCCAGTAGTTAAATAAATTCAGCCTCAGTCTCTTCTTTGTATAAACTTTGATATAGTTATTACAGGCACATAATGTGCTAGGGTTTCTGTGTCGTAAACATAGGGGTGTCTGAACTACTGTATCCCACTTCCTAAACTATTGCTCTGTTTTCTACTCTTACACCTATTAGAAGAGACAAATTAGACACTGGTCAGTCCTGGTCATGGGGATGATTGTTATTTATTGAATTACTAAGAGACTGATTTTCATTGAGAACCTACTATGTGCAGGTCCTGGAACCAAAAACATTAGTAAGATAGTGTTTTTTTTTTTGTTACTTTTTTTGATGGTACTTGGGATTGAATTTAGAGCTTTGCACATGGTAGCAGTGAAATTAGACATGGAGTATAAATAATTCTAATACAGGAAATGGTTGTTAATAAAACAAATATATAAATGCTTTCAAGCTGAAGAGGAAGGGAGTGATTACAGCCTTTGAAAGAATGGTGTGGGAGTATCACAAAGTACTTTATGGATAATGTTTAATATAAGCTTAAGAAAATAACTAGTCCACATCCAATAGGTGTAGAATATGGGAAATAGGATTCCAAAATTGGGTGTAATTTATATAAAAATACAAAGTCTGTGCTCAGGAAAAAAATTTTCAGTATAGCTAAGATTCATTGCATGAGTGATTCTTGGAAGGATATAAGCACCCTTTGCAGAATCCTTTGTCAAGCCAGAGGGGTTGGACCACGGTCCCAGACTACCTGGAATAAGCGTACCATCTACCTCTGATTTTATCCACCATAGTTTTTTCAAGGGGACTGTGAGAAGATTGAGAGCTGGATGGTGGCACGTGAGAATTCCCTGCGATCAGATGACAAGGATACTTTAAATAGTCTTGAGGCCTTGAAAAAGAAACGAGATGACTTGACAACAGCAATCTCTGCCCAGGTAATAATTAATATAAATTTCCAATAAAAGCTATTAGTAATAATAACAGAATCCTGTATATTTTTCTGGTTTTGTAACTAATTAGTATTGTGATTTACATTTGCTTTTATTGACAACTTTGAAGCAGGAAAAAGGAGCTTGACAGTGGTTTACCTAAATCACATGTGGCAATTGGACTTTCTTATTTTAAGTCCAGCATTCTAAACCCCAAATTTTAGGCTTAAAATTGATTTTATATGTAATCTATTATAATTGCTTACCCAATGCTGGCTTCACCCCCTACAATAATCATGAGGAGAATCTATTCTTTACCAAACTCAGTACCAGGCAAGTAGCCCATCTCAGTATAATTATTACATTTTCTCTTCTCATTGAATTGAAATCCACTTGTCTATAGGGTGCTTAGTCTTTGTTCTTAGATCTTTCCCTCAAACCACAAAGATGTCTCTTTTCTTCTTTACCAGGGGGTCTGGAATTGTAACAATGGCCTAATTTGCATTCATTTGAGATTTTTTGTTTTGATTTATCCAGGAAGAAAAGATCACCAACCTAAAGGAATTTGCTGATCGTCTTAGAGCTGATGACCACTATGCCAAGCGAGAGATTGATGCCCGGCTCCAAAAATTGCTGGACAGGTCAGGCCTGCTGTCAGAGGAAGATGGGAAAGAGTGGCCTCTTTGCTAGTACCGTGACGGGGGTGACACTATAAGTTCCTATCTTTTCTAGATTCTTTACCTTGACATTTTAGGAAACTTTCTGATCTGGATTTATAGAACAAAAGATATAAAAAGTGCTTTAGAAATTACTTAACCATTGCATTTTATATCTGAAAACAGTGAGACCGTATGAATGAAATGGGGCAGGTTGGAAAATGGAAACACTCGTGTAGCTGGCTATTAGAGCAAAGGGCAATGCGGAAGGCAGATGGTGACTTGGCTCCCTCCCCCAGATGGAATGCTCTTAAAGAACTGCTGGATGCTGAGTGGGCAAAGCTTGGGAATCTGGCTGACCTAAAGCAGTTGTACCGTGACCTTGAGGAGCTGAAAGAATGGATCGAAGAGAAGCTGCCCACAGCCTGTGATGAATCCTACAAAGACCCCAGCAACATACAGGCAGGTTCAAAATAGGAATTTTGGAAGCTTTTTCCATTTCCAGCCTGTTGGTTGAATGCCTTCCCTACAGTACCAACCAGCCCTTTATTATTAAGATCATTGTGTCCACTCGCAGGACTGCTGAAACTAGTGTGGAGAAAGCAGGTCCTACAGAAGTCACAGATACTTTGATTATGATAATACAATTAATATTTCCTTTGAAATATAATTTCCCTTATCTTGCTTTCCTAAATGAAAAGATAATGTGGTTCTTGCTTGCGTTCAGAGGAAGTATCTGAAACACAAAGCCTTTGAAAATGAAGTCTTTGGTCGAAGGAAAGAAGTAGAAGACGTTTTGGAACTGGGCAAGTCCCTCATTGAGCAGAAGGCATGCGATGGCAATGAAGAGGCCGTAGAGGTAAAAGTTCTGCTCAGAATGGATTTGCACTTTTAAGGCGCATGAAGCGAAATCTTACTTTTTCAATGTTCCACGGCTCATATGGCAGTATGACAATGCTCTGTGCTCCATAGTCTTCTCTCTTGTTGTTTCATAAAGGAGAAAGAAAGCAACGATGCTTAGACCATACAACTCCCATCAGAGTCAGTTCCCAGAACTTCAAGGTTTCACCTCCATTTTCAAGTCTATCCTGCTTGTTTTACATTTTCTGTTCCTTCTTTTGAGAATCTTTTGGCATCTGTAGATCCTATAATCAGCTCAGGAATTTTTTGAACTTTGCCTTTAACGTAAACTTCATGTGTGTTCCTAGATTAAATATAACAAGTTGGAAATGTAAAATATGGTAAACACTTCAATTTAAATACTACAATAAAAGACACATTGCTATCAATCTCCTTAAATAATCCTCCCCTTCATTTCAAAGACGCATAGTTTATTATACTTGCTACTTTCTGAAGCAGTTCTTGGAATCCTCTTTCTTAAATATCTTTATAAATTGTAATTTTAAAAAAGTGAATGCTTCTTCACAGTACCATCTAACAGAAAACAGGCTCATAAAAATATTAGTGTGTCTTCATCCACCTTATTCACTAGGTCTGGCAGCCTGTGACTTCTGCCACTTTCCAAAGTAAAATTGACCCTAAAAGGTAAATGTTTTGAATGGATTCAGGACACTGAGTTGTCCATAACTGCAAACATAAGTTTAACCCTTATGAAACAGAATGCTCAGAATTACTTCAGAAGTTGGTCAGAATGAAGGAATAAGTGTGTTTGAAGTGAGGGAGAATATTTTGAGGGGAATTATTGGCAATATTATCTTTTACTATAATAGATTGTTTATTTAAACACACATATTTTGTGACCACAACTCACATGAGAAATGTTGCATAATTTCTATATCCAGAACTTTCCTACATTACCTTGTCAAATTATCTCAGGACTCAGGGTCCCAAAGATCATAATGAGATTCTTTTTTAAAAAAATTAGAATCAGCTGTGTGACTTAAAGGAAGAGTGGGGACTCCTGTATGAGAGAACAACTGATAAAGGGAACAAGCTTGACGAGGCGAGTCGCCAACAGAGGTTCACCTCAGGCATCCGGGACTTCCAGTTCTGGCTCTCAGAGGTAATTTTATCTGGAGACATTGGGAGCAAGGGGTTCAATGATACTTGTAAAATAGAAGAATACATATGAGTGATTTCCTTGACCAGTCATGGAGAATGGCTGGGCACATAGATGCTGAATGTAATTCTCCTTAAACATTGTCCCATCTATCAGTTTAATTGCTTATTTTTCCATTCCCAGGCAGAGACATTGCTGGCCATGAAAGATCAGGCCAAGGACTTGGCTTCAGCAGGAAACCTGCTCAAAAAGCACCAGCTACTGGAAACAGAGATGTTGGCTCGAAACGTAAGTAGCTCTGGACTCCCACTGCTCTGGGCCAAATAAAAATGTTTCTGACTTTCCCTTCTCCTTTCTCAGTACATCATTTGAATGTACAGCCTCACAAAACTGAACTTGATGTTCTCAACCAGCTGTTCCTTTCACTGGGTCAAATCAACTCAATAGCTGTAGAACCATTATAATAGTCATTGTTGATTATCACTAAACTGTTGACTGTAATATTTCAAGAATATTTCCTGAAAGCTATTTTGTTTATCTTTTACTGATACATGTTTAGAAACTTACTCTTTTCCAAAGTTTTATACTTGATATAGCCTCTGGAAGAAAATAGATGTTTAATTTTACAAAATTAGACAGAAAAAATAAAATTAGCTGGGGGGCATGTGCAATGAATTTGAACTACATATGCACCCTTTGAAGTATGTAGAAATATATGTAGAAATCCTTTGAAGTGCCAGTTGAAACCAAATATCAACCAAAGGTTTGTCCTGGAATCAATAACAAAAATCCCAGTAGATGTCAAATTCATACTCTGGAACTGTACAGAATGTTTTATTTGTTAATACAGATACACGCAGAAAGGGTAAGAAGGCAAAAGTTTTCCAGGCTCAAGGCTTCAGGACTTGTTGCTACTTCCTATCACATAAGTGGGGTGGGAGTGTTGCCTTCAGTGGGAACAGGCATAGAAGAGGTGAGATGTGTTTAGTGGCCAGCCCAGAAATTTTATAAATAGAACAGTTCTTGTTCTTGTTTAACCACTCAGTGACTACAAAATTCAGTACTATTATGCAAAGCAGTCCTTCATGGGGGAGAAGTAATTGCTTACCAAGAAAATATAGGTAAAGACATAAGACTAAATGTACAGTTTGCATGATGCATTCATGCTCTTTAATTTGTTCACTGATCTGGCTTTTATCCAACCTGAACACATTACACTGTATAAACACATAACACTATATAACTTCACATGCAGTATCTTCAGAAACAATCTATTTGGCCTGAGCTCTGAACCAGACCCAGTAGTGATTAAAGTCTTGAGTTTGTGTGACACCTATAATACACTATTCACTGAGCACACTGGGCCTTTCTAGGATGCACTCAAGGAACTGAATAAACTGGCTGAGGATCTGGTCTCCAGTGGAACTTTCAACATTGACAAGATAGAAGAGGACACAAAGAATGTCAATGAGCGCTTTGAGAGTGTTCAAGACTTGGCTGCTGCACACCATGAGAAACTGAAGGTGGACTATGCCTTGTTCCAGTTTTTCCAGGACCTAGATGCTGAGGAGTCATGGATAGAGTATGTATCAGCAACTCACAATCTGTGCATAGTCAAGAGATTAGATGCAAAACACCAAATGTGTTCCAATATATGCTAAAATGAAAAACTTTATTTCTTTT